ATATATATATTAATATAAAAATGTAATACACAGAACAAAACCCATGCCTATTATAAGTATAAAAATTATATACAATATGTATTGTTGATACCAAGAATTAGGTAGGTATGTAATTGTTTTGGCAGCCTTCGGCAGCATAGGTACCAGTCTTTATAGAATATTATGCATTCATTAAAATATATCGACTTCCAAATGGTTTGGTCACTAAAAGTTCTTTGTATAAATTAAATAAATAGAAAAACAACAGGTGTTACACAACAACTCCTCAAACAAAAAGCTCAACAACTTAATTATAGGAACCTAAATTAGACTTCATCATCATCGTCCTCTTCCTCTTCTTGTTCTTCATCCTCATCATCATCCTGATCATCCACACCATTTTCCTCTACATCTTCTTCTTCATCATCATCTGCTTCAACCTGCTCCTTATCTTCCTCGGCATCAACATCATCATTTTGTTCATCGTCGTCATCGTCTTCTTCTTCTTCAGCATTCTGTTCCACATCTTCATCATCTTCTACATCATCATTTTGTTCATTATCATCATCATCTCCATCATCGTCGATTTGTTCGACATCTTCCTCCTCTTCCTCCTCATCTTCATCATCATCTCCTTTATTTTCTGTTTCTACATCTCCGCCATCTTCTACCTCTTCTTCTTCTTCTTCCTCCTCTTCAATTTGGTCGTCCAGCATGTCCTCATCCATTTCTTGACATAAATCTTTGCCCTTGCATAATTTACTACCAGGTCCATGGCTTAAAATATGTTTCTCTCCATATGACTTTGAGTTAAACACCAGTTCACACTCATCACAATGGAATTTCGGGAACACAGGTGGTGCAGTCGAATGTATAATACGATGTTTTTGGAGTTTTGAAAATGCATTGTGATTGCGACCACAAACGTCACAAGCAAATAATGACAAAACGGTGGCATTCGGATGGTGATTATCTAAATGTAAAGCTAGCTCATCATAATTCTTAGTTATTTTACAACAAATACCACAAACGAATGCAGCTTCTGTACGATGAGCTCTAATTAAATGTTGCCAAAAATGTTTTAAACTTATCCATTCTTTTTTGCATATACCACACACGGTTTTATTACTTTTTGGCACAGCTGGCTGTTGTTCCTTGCGCTCAGTTTCTTCTTCCATATAACTGTCTTCAATAATTGAATGCTCTTCTCGTTTGTGATCATATAGATCCGTTTCAAACCTAAAGCTTTTGTAGCAAACTGTACAAGAATGTAATTTTCTCAGTCTCTTTGTGTTTATATCTGAAGTAACATCGTCTATATCTCGTTTCAAACTCTCCTGTTGCTCTTCATTGAAACCGAGCTCAGCAAGTTCTTTAGGAAGACCATATAGCTTGGGAGTTTTTGGTTTTGGTTCTATTGGCTTTTTCACAGGGGTAGCTACTTTGGGGAACTCTTCTTTTGCTGGATGATTTTCAATGTGATCTTTAAGTTTATCCATGTCGCTGAATACTTTCCAACAGATTTTGCAAGGTTTTAAATTTTTTCCATGAATTTTATCTATGTGTTCTCCAACTTTACTTCCAAGAGTAAACATTTTCCCACAAATCTGGCAAATATTTGACTTGGAAAATGTCTGAGGGTGCGCTTCATGTAAATGTTTTGATAAACCATCATTGTCAACACATACTTCCATACACACTCCACATAAATACTGAGTGTTTCCTTTGTGTCGCTGCCTCAAGTGTTTTCTATAGGTTTTCTTATTTGAGTGCATATCTCCACAAAATTCACAAACATATGAAAATACTTTACGAACATGATCACGTTTATGTTTCTGGCAATCGACTTTAGTTCTCATAACTTTATCACAACCTTCAACATCACAACACAACTCTGGATCATTTCCATGTTTTTCTCTGATATGATCCATTAATAACATTTTACTGTCAAAGTGTTCACCTGTTTTATCCTCAGAACATATCTCACAGTACTGAACTAAGTGGCTATGCTTTAAATGTCTATTTAAGTATGTCTGATATTCAAATGTTTTACCACATTTTGTACAAGGATAATGACCTTTTTCTTTGGGTATTGGCATTGCATCTCTTTTACCTTTGCAGTATTTAAGATGTTTCTTCAGTAAACTTCTAATCCTAAACACTTTATCACATCTTATACATTGGTGAATAGCATTTAACTCTGCACATATGCTATTATTTGACTTGTCTATAAGTTGATCCACAGGATCAGAATGATATTTTATCATATGTCTTTTGAGGTGAACTTTAGATGCAGATGTGCGTGCACATAAGCTACACGTAACATCTGGATGACCTTTGTGTTGTCTGCTAACATGCTTCCATAAATGATTATTGCCACTATAGTATTTTGAACAGAGATCGCATACATGCAGTTGATGGTCATTCTTTCTGTGTTCAGATATTTCTTCAACAGTTTTAAATTCAGTATCAGGACACAATGTACACTTAAGATTCACTTCAGTTAATTGATCTGTAACAAAGTGAGATACCTGATCTTCAACATTGTGAATTGATCTATGCCTCATCATTTTTGACCATTTGGTGTAAGTGCGACCACATATATCGCAATAAATAGCATTTTCTTTGGATACTAAAGGCTCGTGTTTTTCTTTAATATGTTCTCTAAGATTTGGTACATCTACATGAACTTTTAAACATATACCACATAATAAAGGCATACATTCGGCGTGCACAGCCATTATGTGTTTATAAAAATCATTTCGATTAGGCCATAACCGCCCACATACTTCACAGGTATTTGGAAGTTCACCTTGGGTTTCATGGTGAGATTGATGTTCAATTTGTAAAGATGGTGACACAAATAATTTTCTACAATCTGGTTTTGGGCATATAAGTGTTTCATTAGTGCCGTGCTCTTTAAGCACATGCCACCATTTTTCAGTACGAGAACCACATGAATCACCACATAATTCACAACGATTTACAAAACTACTTTGAGAAGAATTACCAGTGGTTGTTACGGCTGTGGTAGTAATCATATCATCACAACCAGTCATTAAATGAACAGAAGACATGTGTCGTAAAAGTTTTTCTTCACTTGGAAATACTTTATGACATACTTGACAGCTAATTGTGTAATGTTCGTTATTTGATGATTTAGTCGGATGAAAATTATTATTGATTATTATTAACTTATCAGGATCGATAATTTGGCCATCATTATCATATACTGTGTGGATGACCACGTGTCTCATCATTTTTTTCTTGGTATCGTGTTGCCGTGCACATACCTGACATCTATACCTACGTTGCACGGAATCAGCAGTATCACAATTTTTGGGATGTTGGATATTTACATGTTCCATTAGAGATTTACTATCACTGCAGATTTTCATACACACTCCACATGTAACTGCAGCTTCCTGTTTGTGACCTCTGACCATATGTAACCAAAGACTAGCTTTGTCTTGAAATTCTCTAGTACATACTTCACAAAAAAACACAGTTTCAGCTTCCATCATACTTTCAGCAAGTTCTTCATCTTCCCCCAAATGCCCATTTAATTTATGTAAATCTGAAGGTTCAATACCATGTACTTCAGATATATGTTGACTTAGATCAATTTTATTACTAAAATTTCGTTCACATAACAAACAGGATTGACGAAGGTTTTCTTGTTTAATCTGAGAAAGCAGAAAATGATCACTTGGTCCTGGTGGTTCAATTTCATTTTCTCGAGCTACTTTTCTTGGATTAGCATTTTTACGACGACTACCGGAATCTGATTGTGATAAACTCCCTCCCTATAAATAGATTTATAACATAATAAATTATTAAATAAAATCAAATAATAAAAATCAGGCCCAAAACAAACTGTTAAACTTTTAGTTTATAAATTGTTCAGTTTCAAATTTTGAGTCCTGATAAAATATATCATCTTTTAGTTTTATCACATTACCGATTTAAAATTGGACCTTGGTTTATCCCTTGGAATATTATTGATAATACAGTTACCAGCATGAACTCCAATCTATAATTAATAATGTTCAAATTTTAAACCCAGAAAAAAATTTTCACACAATTTAACCAGGTACCTCTAAAAAATCCATTGGGTTTGGAGAATCTTCCCGTATACTATTATTGTTAGTATGGCTATTTATTATGGCACGTTGCTGCATCATTTTTTGATGCATTGCCTGTTGTTGTTTTTGATACTCTGTACGACTATCATTAGCAAAATATTGCATTTTGTTTAGTGGCGGGGGCCCTCTTTGAACTAGTTGTTTTTGACTCAGACGCTGAGCTTTTAAGAATTGTTGTAGTTGCATAGATGCGGCAGGTTGTTTGGAAGGCCATATTGCTGGTTTTAAAGGAGGGGGTTCGCTTTTAATTTTCCTTGGTTTGGGAGGAGGATTTGGAGAAACAGCAAAAATTGATACCTAAAAACACACATTAAGTTTAAGTCAGGACATATTTTTAAACAAAAACAAATTGACTCTAACAAAAAAGCAATATTTTTTAGGCATAAATAGGGATAGGTTTTATACTTACTTCTGGCTGTATGTGATGTAGTCGTGACATTTTAATATTTTGTGTAGACCAATTAAATTCCTAGAACAAATAAAAATTGTATATTAATTCATTATTAAATAAATACAAACACAAAATGAACATTTTACCGTATTTAAAATAGAATTATTAAGAAATTAATACTCTCAACAGTCTCAATAAACACGTTTACTGGTTCAATATAGAAAATAAAACACAATAAGGTTTTTTCTGATGTGAAAATAGTATATTGGTTATGATCAGGGCTCGTAAGTTCATGCACTAAAAAATGTATAAATAAGCATGCATTCATGCCCTCAAAATTAGCAAAATATGCATTAAAATATGCACTAAAAAGTTTGAAAATTTGCATTTATAAGCCCTAACATTTTTAAATTATGCACTAAAAATATGCATTATGTAAAACAACCATGGGCAAATTTTAAAATAATAAGAATATATCCATTAATTTAAAAGTGTTTTATTAATTTTAATTTGTATACATTTATTAACCAAAATTAGTAAAATAAAAAAAAAATGAATACTTGTGAAGTTCATAATATGGATAGCTAGGATACTATAGGTAGTCACAGGATAATAAAAATAATTAAAAATACTCTCATTTTGTAAACGGAAAAGTAAATAAAAAACAAGAAACTTTTCAAATATTTGTCTAAAAAATTTTTTTATGAAATAATATGCGCTATCAACTCTAAAAAATCGACTATATGCCAAATATGCCCTAACACCCAAAACATGCAAAAACATGCACTATTAAACTTTATATTATTATTACTACTGTTATGAAACGGATTTGTATCTCAGTTAGCATGTTTTTCGGTGTAGCAGAAAAAACATGCGGATGCATGAACTTACGAGCCCTGGTTATGATATTCTAAGTATTATACAGTCAGTTATAAGTAAAATTAAATTATTTAAAATCTAAAAAGTTACAATTTAATTTTGTTTTTTAGTTTACTATTTTATATGGACTCTTGTATTTATATTTTATTATGTAATTATTTTTTTTATAAATAACCAATATACATTGGTTTGTTCAAATCTGAATTTTTAAAAATCATAAATTTGTCAATACTTATTTCGGGACATTCATAGATGAATTCCTTTTTTCACACATAAATACTATTGCAAAACTAGTCGCGAAATAATAATAAAAATTCATCGTAGTATCGCCGTAAAATACTAAATGATAATGAAATCGGTATATATACGTATTTTAATAATATTATAATAACAATCGTTTTTGAAGAATCGTGATAACAATAATAATAATAGGTAGGTGGCGGCGGCGGCGGCAACAGCAGCTGCTGCAGCTGTATATCATTACACATAAATTTACTATGAAATCTTACACACGCGCGCGGTGCTATAAATGTTCGGAATACGATTATTTCCCTCTAAAACACGATGGCGTGATGATAAAAATGAAAAATTCAAATTTTGGTAAGCCTAGATGTTATCTTATCAATAATAATTGATAACAAAACATGAATGAATTAATAAATAATAATACCTATATAATTAATTTTAATAGTATTGTTAATAGATACCGGAAGGCACGATTAAAGTGTGTACCGACTACCGAGTGACAAACGGCGATTTCGAGAAGCAAAAATTTCACGACCACCTCGACGAGTTTTTTACCGACGCCCGAGTAATATTCGCAAAGTAACTGGCCCAGTCGTCCGCGACACCGTTGACGACGAAGGCACCGCAGTCGTCGTCGTCGTAGTCGCAGACGGCCCACACACTCGTTTCCCTGGAACAATTCCACCGTGTCCGGAGACCAGAAGGAGGTGCAGCCGGCCGTCTGCTGTTCGTTCCGCACACACGCACACGCGACAACGCCACTCCCGGCCGGAGTGAAAAATATATATATGTAATATGTAAAAATCCTGAAGCGTATCATCAACCGCTCACCGTTAGCGGCGGCAGGTGTATTGCGTTAAAGTATTTTCACGCGCATAACGAATTAGCTGCAGCAGGTCGTCGGGAGCGAGAGGGCGAGCGGGCGGGCAGGCGGTCAGGCAGCGACAGCACCGCATGATATAGAGAACGAGAACCGAAATCCAGTTGCCGCCTCCGGTCGTGTCCCCCGTGGCCCCTTGGACGAACAATTCCCTACCGCACTGCCACTGCCGCCCAACACTCCACCGCCCGCCGTCCACCTCGTTTCGCCAAACGACTGCTACATCGCACTCCTAGGCGGTCGCCAACTACGTCGTCGTTCTACATTCTACGCGCGCGCCACATCCGTAACACCGATGATGTAGTATTTAGGTCACCTTCACGAGCGCGGATAGGAGTAAAAAAAAATCCCGAGCGCCACGTCCGGTCCCTTACGTCGGCTGTCCCGATGGCCCGGGTTCCCGAAAAATATTGGGTCGCGGACCGAGTGCGGAGTCCGCGAAAAGGTCTGGGGTACACCCGAGACGAGAACACGATCGTAGAAAAAAAAATTAGCTTCCAAATAATTGCAAAATACGTTACCTTTGCGCGACGAGGCAGCTATCCGTTCCGGGCGAAGTCTGATTATGTGTCCAAAGTCACTGCCGAGTGACGACGACGACTAGTAATGCGGTGCCATTCACGGTTACGTGCGCGGGCGGGAAGGTAGTGGCGGTGGTGGTGGTGGCGGCGGCGGCGGTTGCGGTGGCGGTGTGTCGTCACTGTCGTGCGGCGGGGCCCCTTACATAACTGGCCCACGTCCAAAGTCGGCCATTTGCAAGAGCGTGGATATCCGGCGGCGGTGGCCACCCGGGCGTGGACGGGGATGACTGTGGACCAGGCCCGTCGTGCGGACGACGGGTGGACTGACAAGCAGCTGCAGTCGCAGGAGCACCCTCGAACTTGGATATCCGGCGCGGACGACGGGCGATGGGCACGGCGAGGCGTCGGGTTCAGACCGAAAGACGGGACATCGGTCCGGCGTCGTGGACACGGATGCGCGGATCACCGGAGCACGGCGCCCAAACAAGATCGTGAAGTCGCGAAACCGAATGACATATTATTACTAACTGCTTAAACCTTATTTTTCCCGTCGACCGTCTGTACTCTGTAAACCAATGTAAACGGAACCACGATTCCACGATACGGTCGGCAGGATAGACGAGGGGAGAGAACCATTGGAGCTCGTACCAACCGAACCCCGCGCCGACGGATGTGTCCCCGACCTGTGGTCGCGCACCACTGGACCGGTCGCAGTGTGGCCAACGTTTCCAACGCCGCAGCAGCAGCCCCGTTTGATCAAGCGATTGCCGACAAATATCAAAATCAAACAGACGTCGTTCACTTGTGGCTGGTGTACTTGTGTGTCTTAAGCACGGATGTAGATACTAGTATCATACCGTGGCTTAAAATAAATAAAAAATTATAATGTCAATTGATAATTAATGATCAGCGTAGTTTTATTTTGAAACTTCTATATTGACCTTTGAATATATTATTATAATTGTTAATTATTTATCGGCGTATAACAGTAGCCAGTGGGCATTGAATGTAAAGTGAATTGTAGAGACACGAACCCGGGGTCCCGGAATACAATTTTTTCGATTCTTAAGAGATGAGAAGTTCCGAATTTTATTCTTGTTGATCTATATTATTATATTCAAAATAGTTACTATTTATTATATTCCACAAAATTGAAAATACTTATGCAATATTGATCATCCCCATAAATGTTTTGGAACTTAATCAATTACAATTTGGTTTTCTGTACATCATAATCACTCGATTTAACTAAATAAATTACTAGTGAACTATTCAAAATTACTTTTTCATAATAATATAGGTACGCGGTGCTAATATTCTAAAATCTTAGTCCGTGCCCAGTAATCTATAGGTACTCAATAAAAGTAATTGTTAAGTATAACCTTTATAAAGTAACTAATTATATAATACCTAATCACTCTTATTATTTATAAGAACGATAGAAGGGTAGATCTCTTTTTTTTAGGACAAAAATCTTATGATGAGTAGTCACTAATCTGATTATAGTTTATGAAATTCAACGGGGACCATTTTGTAACTATTTAATTATGTAGACAATATGTAGATGGAGTATTATACATAATATTGTAGGTAACAGTTTTGGTCAAATACTCAAAAATTATTTTTTTGTCAACAAAATAAGTATTTATAATTAAGCTATACGCAGTATAACAGCAAATTTGAAAATTATCATTTATCAGTAGATAATCAGTAATCAATTAATGATCATTTAACAACAGTCACTTTTACCCTTAGGGCTCAGATCATAGTATTAAATTTACGCTCCTACATGGTACCTATATGATCTACGCAAGGGATGGCGAACCTTTTTGTATCAGCGTGTCCAATAAAAATTTTGGTTGGATTTTGTTTTTCCTGTGTGTTAACTAGTTCGGTAACCCTTCAATTTTTTTTTTAAAAACTTTAATATTATCAAACTCTTACACATTCGTGTGTGTCAATAAAATAGTGTGCGCGTGTCATACGTTCGCCACTTCTCTGATCTACGCTATTCATCATGGGCGGAAATTGGGGTGTGCGGCTTAGCCCCCCTCCCAAATCCCAATATTACATTAGCCCCACTAAAACAGACAGCTTTTAAGTTGGGCGTGATCGAAGCCCCCCTCCCCCCATTGCTCACATTGATATTATAAATGTTAGCTCCCTGAAATTGTAATGAATTTCCTCCAATGTTATTCACCACAGATATATCTAATATTTCAGGGCCGGCTCTGGATATTTTGCGGTTTAAAAATTGTCCATAATATCTAAGGTTAAAATGCCGCCCCTAATTATCCACTTAAATGGCCACCCCGTGCAGACGCACCTCACCTCTTGCACATTTGTTCAAGCCCTACTGGTATTCACTATTTATTAGTAATTATCATTTACCCAATGTGTATTTATGTAATAACTAATAAGTTATGCGTTTTAACAGTAATAGACTAAATATCTGCTAATACAGTGTAAATGTCCATGATGTATGCCACGATTAAAGTTAAGATAACAGATAATTTTAATCGTGGTAATATATGCATCAATACACCTTGAATTTACCATAAAATTATTATTATATCAAATAGGCATTGTCTATTACCAAATGTATGCTAATTAAAAATTATTACCCTAGCTTCTACCATGAAGACATGAACTAAGATAATGTGGTCTTAGTTCGTGCATAATATAATACGCTCAGCTGGTGGATCGTGTATATAAATTATAAAACCACCTTGCCCTGGTCATAGACCGACGGACCGTAATAATTACTGATTGCTCATCAATAAAGTATTGACAGTGACGATTTGTCACGGACTGAAAGAACTATACAAACTACAAAAGCCAATACCAGCTGAAATGTAATGCTGAATACCACCACGGCACCACAGAACATTACATTCCATAATATGGAAATTGCAGCTCACGAGATAGCGGCAGTTGTAGTACCACAGTAAGTTGTAGTACGAATGGTAATTATTCATTTATTCTTGGTAGTTGGTTCTGTTGTCATGTGTTTATAGATATTCTGAGACCATGGTTTATATTATCAATAATAGATGATAATATATAAATGTACTTTTTTTTTTTATTAATTTGATGAATTATTGGAAAAATACTGAAATAGGCTGATAATTGATAGTAGTAAACTCGCAAGTCGCTCAAAAGTCAATAGTTGACGTCGAGAATTCAGATTGAATTGAAAATTATAGATTTGGCCTTCGATTTCAAGGGCTCTAACTAGTTTAATGTGTTTCGTAGTTTACTTAAAAGTTAATTCGTTTTACCGTAATCAACAACCTTGAAATTGTATAATTCAATAATAATAAAATAAAGATTGTGAATGCTGATATTTGATACTAAAATAATGAAGCACTACCTAGGTAGTTGTATTCGGTGTTAATACAATAATCATGTAAATGAGTGGGAAAAATTGAAGAACTGTAATTTTTGTCTTTTGGAGTAAAATAAAGCAGTAAGTTATATACATACCATTGGTGATAAATGCAGTGCTAATTTCTATTCATTTATAATTATGTAGCTATGGCGTTAGTGGAAGGATTTGGTGATGAAGTTATTCAGTTTTTTGGTATACTGTTCGTTGTTGTATTGATCGTATTACTATGGATGTCTACACAAGTAGCCGAAATGCAAATATTCCGTGGTGCCGTTTTTATCTTGGAAAGACGTACAAGGAGACGACACCATGATGCTACTAGGGCCACACCTGTAGTTGTTCCTAATCAAACCACGAGTAAGTTTGTTATTTATTATTCTTGATTAATACATAAGTATTGTATAGACAAAATATTCCTGAAAAATTCCTAGAAAATTAAAATTAGGTAATTAAAATTTGTCTAGTTAAACTTATTAATTAATAGGTAGATTTATATAATGATTAAATATTAAAAACAAAACAAAAAAAAATGGGTAAGTGGATGTCGCTCCGCTCTACTGTTGGTTACAACTGGGTCAGTGTAATGGATGGTGTTAAATTTAAATTCAATGATATATTTCTGAGAGGTGTTCTGGCAAATTTTCTTCTTTTCTTAAGTTTTCATATTTGAGTCAGTTTATTAAAAAATGTCTGATTTTACTTTGGGTTCCGCATATAGTTCATAGTGATTAATTAAAGTTACTAGTACTGATTTTTAAAACTCTTTAAAAATACTTTCATTTAAGTACAAGATTATTTGCATTCTTACTGAACATCAGTGGTAGATGATACTAAGTGTGAACAAATATCCTTAAAATAAATTATTAATGACTAATAATAACTAAGTTTAATTAACCAGTAGATACTTTGAAAAATAATAATTTTATATTTTATTGAATCAATGTGTAATAATCTAAATTATTCACACTAATTTTTTAATAATAAACTTTTTGCGGATGCAAATATGCAAGCCGCTATTATTGATGAATAACCTTAAACAATGTTTTTGATTTAGAGAAGATTTTTTTTATTGCGGTAACCAATAATTTTGACTACTGCTTAATATAATCATAATTAAAAGTTATTGGTTTTAGAATTACTTGATTCGCTTGCAATAATTTTATTTTTTATTGTACATGTAATGAGTTTATGTAATATATTACTTCAGGTGAACAATCGGCAACTGAAACTGTTCCATTAAATGATGTAACTCAAACAACAAATTCAACTTTAAGCAATGATAATCCTGTTGCTGCAAAAACTGATGTATCAGAAACTGAACAGTTTGATGAATCTAGTCAAAGCAATGATACCAATGATATTGAAAATGAACCACAGATTTATGAAGACTCTATAAGAATACGACTGAAGTATTTGAACGACAACTGTCGTTTGGTTCAAGGCAGACTACAAGAAACAATTGGAGTTTTCAAAAGGTATTATACAAATTGAACAATGAATGCTATCTTATAATCTTATGCGATTATGTTATGTTATTTTTATTCCAGGAGACACTTTACCAATGAGCTATCATCCAATAAAATTATTCGTTTGATATTTCAAGGAAAGGTGTTACATGATGATGAAGCATCACTAAGTAGTTGTGGACTTCATGATAATTGTGTTGTACACTGTCTTATACATCAGCCACGTCCTACAGCTAATGCTCAGCAAACCCCTGATCCTGTAAACCACAATGCTGCTGAACAAACACTACCAAACGTTATACGTCATGGTCATCGTCAACATGGACCAGTTCAACGTGAATGGAATTTGGCAACATTATTATCTGCTTTAATCACGATTATAATATCATTACTTTGGTACGCCAGAATCCAGTTCTACTCATTTTTTTCTTATACATCTACGGGTACACTGGGAATATTGACTGGAATTTTTTTGTTCACCGCCTTTCTCACTTATTTGGTGGACAGTGAAGAGCAACAACATCATCGACCACAAACTGGACATTAATATGTTATAAAGCTATATTTCAGTACATAAAATCAAAGTAAGCACAAAAGCTGGTCTCAAAATATTTTAAAATGTATGTAATAAGATTATGTAACTACACGGTTTCTAATTAATACAGCAAATATTTTACTTTTATTTGTTTTACCAAGACACTAAATATTATTTTTAAATAACTGAACTATTACTCTAAAACACTAGGTGAATTTTTTATACATGTTGTATATGTTAGTTTATTTTTTTTGTTCATTTAGAAATTATTAATATCAAATTTGCTGTGTATGAATTCTTGTATTATTCAACTCAGAAATGTTTAAACAAAATTTCTGGTCCAAATATTTCTTCTTTTGATAGTAAACAAATATTAATTCAAAGTACATTTTGCATTGTAATAAATCAATCAAAATCAATCAATCTAATGAATCTTAATATGTTATATATTTAAATGAAAAAAAAATATAATGTATATAATATATATTACTATATTAGCTTTGTTTGAGATTTAGTTGGTAAGTTTAGAATAATAATAATTGTGTTTTATTTTTTTTTTTTATACTTACCCGTTATTAAATGTATTGAATACAATTTGTTAATTAAATATATCCACAAATGTCCTACGTAATACATTTATTTGATGGTAGATATATTTTTTTTTGATATTAGTTTTAGAAATATTTTAAACTCTTTATCAATGGTTTTTATTTATGTATTATAATATTGTAGTTAATGAAGTTAGCTTATAAAAGTATTTTTAAGCATTATATGCATTTAATAAATAATATCATAAATATGTTCTACATTTGCTACAAGAGAGATTTTTAAAAAAAATATTGGTTTATTAAACTTAAGACTAAAAGGGTAGATACTTATTAGATACTTTATAAATGATATGTTAACTCAATAATTTTCTAAGAATAGAAATAAATGTTTATTCATCAAAACAAAATTGTAATTTGACTTTTTACCATTGTATGTTTAAATAATAATTGGTATTTCTTTGCATAATGTATAATGAGAACTGCCTTATTGCTGTCATTGGTTGAAAAATTCAGAACATTACTTTCATGAGTAATCTGATGGGCGATGACAACATTATTGTTAATAGAGGAGACCTCTTAATGGATCTAATTAATTATCAAATTAAAAAGAACCCACTTTATTACTTCAGCACCTACTTAAGAAATAAATAATACAAATTACAGCTCACAACCAAACTTTCTACTTGTTGGAATAGATATGTGGTGAATATTCCTTGATTATATATCAGTAATAAACTATCTAGAGATTTGCTCGTTCCAATTGGATTAAAATAAAAACGCATCATATCTTTTACATGACTCACTATCCCTGACCAGGAATCTAAATCTCACATGTCTGGGATAATATGCGGATAATTTTACACCAGTTTGGACCAATGTACCAACAAGTTTATTGTTTAACACAATTCATAATTTATTGACTAAGCGATCAGTAAAAAAAATTAAGATTTTTTTTGAAAGATGTGATTCTGTGTATTTTCAACTCTATACACCTCAAACATAAAATCTTGAAAAAAAATCGAATAAACAACATCAAAGAATAAGTGAAGAATATATTATTTTATTATGTATATATTGTGTCACCGACATTATGAAAAAATAATGCGACAGTCCGAGTTTTAGGATTTACTGTTAAATAAGCGAAACTGTACGGTATGGGATTTCTGCATTGTTTTGGAAATAAAACTGTGTCGTTAGAATCGAAAGCAACGACTTTGAACATCTTGGACGAGACTTGTATTCCGGAGCCTGGAATTTTTTCGACACTGAAACAAGCAAAACCTGAATCACCTCAAATTTACGAGAGGAATAAATTATTATTATTATTATTATTATTATCATCATAATAATTCGCAATTTATATATTATTATTATGATTTCCTCACGCAAGTAGATCTTTGTAAACGTATTTCATTGCGTCCAAATACGGTTCGATAACTACTTCGTCTTGACACCATTGGCCGCCGGTGGAGAAATGCCGCAACAGCCGAAACATGAACTCTGATCGTTCATCTTCGCTATACAACAAATATTCTTCGCATTCGTCTTCAAACAACATCTACAGAAGTTAAGATATTCATGGCTATTACTGAGTACCTATATTACTCAATCTCGGCAATATCGGATCAACGATCAATTTTATTATAATATAATTTTGTATAATATATTCATATATTCCATATTTCCATATGCTCGAGCACGCGACCCGCTTACCTATATTTCGGACATCGGTATATTATATATAGGTCTATGACCTATGTTGTAATATGATTTGGTGCCGTGATTAGATATAGGTCGTGTTAGTGAGTGGCAGGTAGTTCGACTGTGTAAGTACAAAAAGTTTTCACATACACGTCTTATGCAAATTATTTTATATGATTCCAATAGGTATATAATAATATAATATAGGTACTTGTTAATTATAATAGTAATCTGCATATATAATTAAATAATTTAAAAAATAATAAATTATACAAACCGCGGTTAAAAATGCACGATTTAGCACTATACTCCGCCATAAAAGCAATTACCTACTTCTATAGTATTTTAAAATCTATATAATTACTAATTACTAATTTGGTGTATAAAAATGGACCCTATTAACTTTGTGACGGCATCACTTGAGAACCTAACCTAACCTTTACCGATTTCATTCGTCTTTTTTAAAAATAAAAGATGTCCTCTTTTCGGAGCATGTTTTTAGGCGTAAATTTAGTCCGATATAGTTCTGGGACAGTGGTGTACACACGGGGAGGGGGGTGTGTTCGAACCCCCCCTTTAGTATTTTTTCAGTTTACGTAATTACGTAAAAATGTATAGTAAAAAAGATGACAATTTAAAAAAAAAATTAATAGTACTAATAAAAATAAATACAAAATTAAATTAAGAAAAATTCAGTGTTACCGTCACAATCGAGTTTCGATTAAAAATGTACGGCGAGAAGACCGTCATCACCGAAGTTATTATTAGATATGGGATATTCCAAATTATACTCCATTATATTATAACATATTTTAAACTGAAAAATAATTATTTAGTATTTACACAGGACAGATTAAATGGATTGACCATGTTGTCGATATACCGTGATATAAATTTAACTCCTGAAGAAGTCATGGATGAGTTGGGACGAAAACCCAGGAAAATAGACATTGTTTTATAATGAAAATAAATATTATAGTTAAACAACATATTATTTTGATTTATCAATGTATAAATGTATAATATATATTGTTATAATTTTTTATATGTAAGCCCCTCCCCCATTGAAAATAGCTGTGTACGCCACTGTTCTGGGATGAGGAAATAGCAAAAAATTAATTTTGATTAAAATAGTAATAAATAATAATACCTTTATTGGTTGCCATTGGTTAGATAGTTGGCCATGTTTATTGATATGTATTTTTTTTATGTCTTAAGGTTTTTCAATTTATTTTAAAATTTAATTTAATGTAGATTTTTGGTAAGTTTTGATAGATTAACACGTGGTGTATACCTACATGGCTATATGGTTAATTACAAGGTAAGTTCCTCAAAATCAGGGCTTGAAAACGTTTACATAACGTTATATTAGTAAAAAAACGATTGAAATAGATAACAGAAAACTAAACGGTAATATTAAACTAGATTTATACCTAAATTATCATTAAACAATTGTAGCAATAAACGACCATTTTAGTAAAACAAAAGACAAAACAAAATGATAACCAATAACTTAAAAAATCATAAAACGAAACATAACAGAAAACACGAAAAATCGTAAATTTATAAACGATCATTAAGCTTTATAGTTTATTTTCATAATTTTTACGTATTACGTTCATAAAATTAATTAATGAATATTTAATAATTATATTTTTAAAATGAACATTGACGTTATAGGCGATTTCAATAAGATTGAATTAGACGAATAGCTTATGGCATTCTATGGTTTTAATTTATTTTTAAATATGTGCCCTGTTATATTGTGTGGATATGCAGGTATAATGTAACATGTTAATTTGTACTCGGAAATCAGTGAAATCGAAAGCCGCCAATTTAAAAATAAAATAGAAAATACATGTTAAAAATAACAGAAAATGATACTTCACATAATCACATTTCAAGAACCAATCGGAATAATAGTTTTTTTTTTTATTAGCTGCTAGCAAGCTTACTATTCAGCTCAACGATTAACAATTAACAATTGAATATAGTTAATATGACAAGTAATACTACAGATAGCAACAGTAAGATTAAAAATAAATTATAAGCACAAAATAAGGTTCATATATGATATGTAAACGAAAAAAAAAAGAAAAAAGATAAATGGGATAACATATTATAATTATACTATCTAGCTGATATTGTTATGGCAATTATATGATCATGGGAGTATTTACGGGGTAGATAAGGTAGAGTTTAATTTATCTAAAATCGTCATAACTAAATCAGTGGATGTACGATGTTGGAAATTTCGCTGATAAGTTTGGATAGATCATCGGATGGTGGCTGGTTGGCTGTGACGGTGGCGTGGGGAATAATACTATAATAGTTAGAATCATAATTCATAGCTATAAAAGTGTTAACGATAAACAACTAAGATTATGAGTAAGATATACCCATGCTATTCTACGTGGAGCAACATTATTTTTATTTATTGATTATATTTATTATATTATAGCTTTTTTTATACATAGTTATTGGTTAACATGCAGTTTACAGGATTTTAATCTTTCCTTTTTTTTTAAAAAAACGGTACTTAGACTATAATTACTTAGATACACAGTATTTTACCAAAACTATCAATTATAATTATATGTATCAATTTTATCAAAGTTACATAGTTTAATTTTTGTGTCATTTTTCTTGTTAGATATCAAAATAATTTTTAAGCCTTATTAAGTAATGACAAAGTGATTTTTTATATTATAATTAAAAATATAAAAATATGTGCATTTCTTTGTCTAAATAGAAAATTGAATAATTTTTGTCTACCTTTTTTAGTTAAGAGTGCTCTACAATCTACATGACTACATCGCACATATATTGTTTTTGAAAATCTACGTAGATAACAAAATTACATGCAGTACTTTAAAATTTGAATTTAGTGGATCAAACAGCTGTAATGTGTAGAATTTGGTATATACTTCTGGTTTTATGTTTAAATTAAATTAATATTAAACATCGACAATAGACGTAATATTGAAAATTTATATTTAGTATTTACAATTATAAATTATCGTTTATAATATTGTTTTAATTGTGAAAATGTAATAGGTACTATATCATGTTTTTATTTTTAATGGTGTTAAAAATTTGAATGTAAAAATGAAAACGTATTAATTTTCAATAACGACAAACAGAATATTTGAATAACGTTTAAATTTCCAATAACGATAAACGTAAAAATATAATAACGTTTATACTGCCAATAACAATAAACATAAAAAATTTATAACGTTTTAATTTTAAGTAACGTTTAACACAAAAATTGTTTAACGGTTTGATACTAAATAACGTTAAACGAAATGTTTTTTCCAAATTCGAATTGAGCCCTGCTCAAAATGCCATCAATTAAATATTTAAATGTACTAATTTAGAAACTTAGGTCACAGAACTCCCAATGTTGCAAGTCATAAATATACATAAGAGCAAGTCCAACCGACAAGAAACGTGAAGCGCTAAGAATGAACAGAATCGATGTAGAAATGTTGCAATCCCCTCGGCAATCAATTACAGTTCACAGCAAATCATTACTATTGGACCAATGAATGTTGTGTATCCACATTACAAGGCATTTAACTATTTAAGTTTAAAAATGAACCTCCTGGATTATGTTGATTCAGTGCCAAGTGAAATATTAGAGCGGCATTGGTAGCGCCACTAGAGCAAATACAATCATTTTTCTAGCAACGTTGTGTATCAAAAATAAGCATTTCTATAAACACTATGTTTTGGGAATCATTTTTCTTTTTATTTCAGTTCGAATTGAATTTTCATACCTTAGACAAGACAACGCTAGAACGCTACAGCTAAATTTCTGTGACATATAGGCTATTTTTTGTCCGAAAATAAAACTTGAAGTGGATAAAATAGGAATAAACTGGTAGCAATGCATACAATGTTGTAATAAAAAAAAATCGTAGAAGCGACCAACTTTGTATAACTTTAATACTTTAGAGTTAAATTATACATTATGATAATAAATAATAATCATAAATCTCGCAACTGATAATATAATACTCGCATAATCACAAGCAAGTCTCACGGCCAACGTTGGTAGTGATGGCTAAAAATAAAAATATTATATGGATTACACTAAAAAGACATTTATTCATCACAATTTTTTTCCCGACAGTGCCGGAATGGCCTTTTAAAATGGGATGACTCAACAGTAATCCGTATTGTCCCATCCCCAATTGCTGTGGGGATCACTGTGACTTCCGACATCTACTCAAAAATTGTCCTTAGATATCTGTCTCTCCAAAGAACTCGGTTAAAGTTTTGCTTTTCCTTTCTTGGTTTCAACTTTTTCCTCGTCAACACTCTCTCTAATAATAACGTGAGTATAATTATGCATATACTCAATTTTATTTTCTAATCTGGCCTTCAAGTCTAGTTGTGTGAGTTTTACCATTTTATATGTAATAGTTATTGACTATTGTACATAAGTATATTCATAATAATTGTCGAGATTTATAACACCTACTCATGTTAAAATATCATAAAAAAAAATAAAAAAATGTATTTGTTAAACTTAGTTGTAATTTATTGACAAAAGTCCAAACTACTAGGTACTTACTAAGCATATACATTTACACAATACGTCTGCAATACTACAATAGAAACAAATATTGTTGAATATATAGGGAGGGAGAAGAAATACTATAATACTATTTAATAATCATAGCAAAATGTAGGAAATGTTTAGGGAGGCCTATAATTTACATAGATTTACACCAACCTTAACCAATTTACACTGATTAAGTTCTTAACTCCCAAGCAGTAAGCAATTCTTATAGGCTATAACATGGACAAACCAACCTACCTACACATAGATTGGAAAATAATTTAATTATTTTGCAGGGTAAAATGATGGTATACAGTATCATACTATATATACTATAAATGATCAAAGTATCAACCCCTATATTTGTGTACAGTGTTCGCCTAAAAATTAAAAATTAAGATACTCATACGAATTATACCATTTTTAGCTTATTTGAAATGTACATGCCGTCCTTGAACACTTCCATACACTGGCGTATCGAGTGATTATCGTTGTCACCAGATCCGCTGCAGCCGACTATGCCGTTGTTCGGGTCCAAGAGCCTGTCAAAGAACGTCATGGATGTAACGTTGCAAGGAATGGATTCGGTCTGCACTTTAGCTACTTCGCTTCCTATAAACATGATAAGAGTAACAACATGGATTTTTAAAACCACTTCAAACAAAAAATAATAATAATAGATAGTTTTATAGTTATTTACAAAAAAGTCGATAGGTATAATAATATAATAATAACAATAATAATAATAGCGTCATTGTAGTATTGTACATGAATAATCCATGGAACTGGAGTCTGGAATGAGTAGGTATAGCCGGTTTAGGTACTGAATTGAACCACGGGAGTAGAAAACTGTAATTGCCTATAAGTTATGATTGGACTGTCTGTACGACCTATAACAACTAAAATAAGTAATAATATTGTGGAATTTTTCAAGAAATGTAATGTTAAAATTCTTAAAAACTAAGTTTTAATTTAAACGTTTCGAAAAAAATATTCTAAAATGCGAGAGGTACTTAAAATTTTAAACATTCTAAATTAAATTATCAATATTTTATATATTTAATAGGTACTATAATTGACTATAAATATTAAATACGAATAGTATTTGTAATCAATGGTACTATGCGTGAATAGACAATAGTTGTATAGTATACTACATTGCTGCTATAATAGTATATATAAACATTATAAACCAGTGGCGCCGAACCTTTATTAACATACCGGGGTAAACTCTACTTGAGATTATAATATAGGTACTAATTTATGGGTATCACACATCACCCACCAAGTCAGATTAAGTGGGGCAAGCCGCCAGGAATGGTCCCGGGGCCAACTTTTTTCAAAAGTTCTCGGGTATACAGTATTTACCCCACTCGCTATGCATGTTCGGCGCCACTGATATGAACCAAATACTAAAAAATGAAATACTTGCCGACAAATTGGCTGAAACTTGCATGTACGTTATTTGCTACATTGTTATCCCGAAAGAAATCCTATAAAATAGATATTCTTATTACATTTATATGTGTATCTAGTGGTGTAGGCAAGGGGGTGGGCTAACGGGCTAAACTGCTGAAACCCCCTCCCCTTTGCCCGTATTATTATATTATGACTTTAAAAAAATATATTTATTAAGTTTCAACTGTCATTCACTACTCGCTAGTAAGCAAGAACGCTAATTCATAAACTGATATTGATCTTACCGGATCAGCTATAGATAATAAGTAATAACTAATAATACCTTTGTTTATAGGTACCCAGGTAGGTTTTTGCAAAAACATATTGTATCTGCGTACCAATTTTCCTAAAATGATCAGTAATGTTTTGGTAAAGTATGAACTATTTATATGAAAGACTTTGTGTTAAATTTTGAAGCCTTAGCGGCCAGCACTGCAGTACAAATGTAATATAATATACAGTTTTAGCTAACAATAAATTAAAAGTGGCTCTGTAAAAATTATACTAGAAAAATTGAGAAGCTGGAGTTGTATTAACATTTTCAAATACCTCATCTAAACGTCTGAAATCATTAGACATGGACAAAATAGAAATATAAATAAAATAGGAATTAATTTTCAAGCCGGAGGGCTTGAATCTAACCTAACCTATCATTGAAAAATCCTACGTATACCATACCGCCACTTTGGGTATCTATTTCCTAGTTATAATATATAATATATATTATTACGTATTATTTAATAAGATCAAAAATTAATATAATAATAGTATCAAACCAATGCAAACTGGTCAATGTCATCCGGTATAAATTCTTGATTGAACGCGTAATAATGAATATGTAAACATTTCTTCATTGACCTGTGACAAAATAACGTACACCACAGTGTAATATAGACAATAGTGTATTCAGTATTGCTATAGTCTAAAAGACATAATTATACCAAAGAGTCAACCAAACAAAATTTAAAAGACCCAAGTAAAAAAATTTACATTGGTATTTATTATATGACAGTATATTATAATTCCAATCAGTATTCAGTCATATTATTATCCGATCTACGTTTCGTCCACAGAATAGGTGTTTCATCTATTTTGTGATTCAACGATATTGTCAATATATGGCCCTGTATCCAGTGAAAATTACTATAAAGGTAAATTGTCACTTTAAGTGGTCCATTGTTTAAAATTAATAACTTGGACACTTTGTACTATTTTATAAATAAAGTATTGAAGTATATAATATTATGTAAATATAAGTACATATGGGTACCTATACAAAGGGATCCATTTATAAGGGTATACTAATATTATCACGAAAAGTATTAACTATTTTTGAATTTTTTTTTAAAGCTTTCAGATTTATACTTTTCTAAAACTGTTTGATATTTATATTTTTTTAACCCTTATATTTATTGGTAAAACCACTATCAACTTTTGATTTTCAAATGGGAACATAAAATAAAAAGGTCATAAATTAATAAAACCATTTTATTTGTAAATATTAATATTAAAATTTTTATTCTTCGTTATTTTGTTCGCGAGATACAGCTCCTCAAAGTTTGATAGTTTAAGGAGGAGTCAATTATACTATTTATTAATTTGTAAAGATCAGGAGCTATAAGCTATGCATTTGATACCGTTCAACCCAAAGTAACAATTAATAAGTGATAACTATTGTACTTTTAACCCAAATCATTTGTTAGTCTATCGACTAATTAGACATACCGAATTACGATGAATGATTAGTAGAAAACTGGTTATTTGAATGACTGGATATTTGTAGCACTATCGATTATAACAGTTCCTTAATCCACCAAACTTATTTTATTATTAATTTATTATAAGTCCTCATTTGAAAATCAAAAGTTGATAGTGGTTTCACCAATAAATATAAGGGTGAAAAAAATTTAAATATTTTTTAGAAAAGCATGAATCCAAAAGTTTTTTTAAAAAAAAATTCAAAAAAGTTAATACTTTTTGATATTATTATTAGTGTATCCTCTTAAATGGATCACCCTGGATATAATGTTATAGAGTCTGATGAGATTTAAACATTATTTTATTCATTTGATATTTAAAAATAATTTAAATATTATGTTATAAAAAGTTTATAAACAAGCCAAAATAATTAAATAACCAGTTTTTTTTTAATTTACAGGTTAGCTGGGAACAAAATATCATTACTCCGTGCTATAATATATAATATTTAACACCATATAATGGTATTTATTATTTTTTTTTTTTAACTTAATTTTTATAACATTTTTAATATAATTGGTCACGACTTCAGACTTTTTATAATAACATTTATAACTATAGGTAAGGTACCTACTACCTATACTTTATGTATATAGTTTGTAAGGTCGGAGCTGGAGGGTGGTCTGGGGCAAGGCCGTATTAGAATTATTTTTCAAGGCGAAGGGGGGGGGGGATCCAAGACATGTATATTGTAGTCTTATCAAATTTAGGTTTTGATAGTTGGTTAAAAGTAAAACAAAAAAAAATTAATCTTCATTTATTAAAATATATTAAAAATAAACAAAATTAATTTCATATCTAGTCAAATTAGGGATAATACTACAAAACATAAAAAAAATTCAGAAATAAAAATAAACAATTTACTAACTATGGATGAATGACTAAAATATGATGGCGTATAGGCGTGTATATTTGTGGTAGACGTAGAAGAATAGGAACATTTTCGGTCTAAAAAAAAGCTTATGAATAATTAATCTTTCCTTAGTTAAGTTATTAATGTAGACAATGTAGTAATTTACTAACCATAATATTATGAAATAATATAACATGCCTTTGGAAGTTTAGAAAAATAATTTAACACCACATTTTTGTTATTTCTTTTAGTATTCTTTACGATGAATTTAAAAATTCGAATTCGGTACAATTCGAATTGTTTGTCATAGTATTGACGGATTAATGTAGTAATATTGTAATAATATTTATAACTCATGAAATTAATTAAATATTATTGTTGTTAATCGTCGTCGACCGCAGCCATCGAAAGCGTACGTTGTCCATCAATAACAAACAAATCTAAGTATATTTTAATATATTATGAATTATGGTACAAAACACTATTTTGTCAAAACATTTGTAAAACATCGAAGAAATTTCGTGGAGGTTTGTCCGGACAGACCTGTCAGACCCCCACTCAGATACGGCTTTGGTTCTGGGGTCCACTCCCCCAAATTTTCAAAAGTTGAACAATAGTTTTTATATTTTGACCGTAAAAATGATAAGTGTCCAGTATCAATACAAACAAATGTTTGACCACCTTCCCTCGAATTTTGTTTTCAGTTATTGCTTTGTAATTTGTATGTAGTGGTACAAAGTATCCGCGTTTTACAGTCTGCGTTAGGTACTTACCTACAATACGCCAAATTGCCTAATATAAATAATAAAATATACCTATCATATTATGTATTTGTAATGTATTATTGTACTTAGTGTATTATATGTACCGATGTATTTGTCTATTATGTAATGCAATCCATAATTGTCCATAATTATTAATTGCCTATAGCCTATAGGTACATAAGTAGTATCATAGAACTATGGTAGTATAGATGGTACCATTGTGAATTTTTAAATTAAATACATTTTATTATACTTATATTTATCAATATGTTTAATGATTACCTATATATACTTGTACCTAATGCTATTATTAAGTTTTACATTTAAATTTTACACACCATTTGAGAAGATATCCTTGAACAATCTTGTTGTACAGTCCAACTGGTTCTTTATTAGGAAGATGATAAAATGTATAATATGCTGAAGTAGACGTCATGACGATATTATGGAAACTAGGTACTATTTATAGCGAAATATATAACATAGGTGAATAGTAAAACAACTACATACAGAGTTGTAAGTACTGCAATGAACGAATTTATCATAGATCCAACAAATATGAAACTATAGCAACTATCATTGTTAGTTTCGGTTGGTATCTAATACAATAGATTATTAGAATCTTATACTAAGTATCTATTTTTAATAGAAATTTGTAAGCAGCGGACGCAGATATAACCTCTTATATTATAGACTATAGATAGTAATATTATTATTACTATTATGTATCATCTATAGCCATGGATATAGCCCATAGAGCTATAGAGGAGGCTGGAGGACCAAATTTATTGACAACTATTAAAATTTGTATAACAGTTATGCAAGGTTGCTTGAACAATTATAAACATTTTACGAATAAATAATGAGCTAATGGTCCCTTAAAAATTATTGAACATTTGAACCATTAATTGTATACATTTTGCATGCAACCCGGGCACCCGGCATTAAGAAGGTAAGACACTAGTGTCCTGTAATGTTGTAAGCATAGATCTATGAAGTTAGTTTATGGATGTCATATGACACATTATTAGCACTCAATGAATGCATTATGTATATATAAGTCTATGGTAGTATGATCGTAAGTGCCTGTAATCATAGACGCAATTTTAGTTTTGAGCTTGGAGAGATTAAAAATACCTATTTAAATCAAATGGATCCCTGCTGGAGTAGAGCCTTTCACGGCCCACACCCCTTGTATTGATAAATCCACCTTAAATATTATTACTGTATGTAAAATACGAGTATAAGTGTACTGGACATCATGGCAGCGTTATATATTTACCATCTTTATCTTAGACCCCATACTACACTTAATATTTTAAGAGAGCTGGAGCATGATTCATTTTCGGTCAAAAATATAGCTCATGACTTCAACCACTACGCCTATATAATGTTTTGATTTTAATTTTGAACATAGATTTGAATTCTAAACTAAATTATCTATGCTTTGACAATTCATTTTCTCTTATTTCAATTTTATTTTACTTGGAAATTTACTAACAAAAAGAGTAAAATAGATTATATTCATAATTCAAATTAAAATAAATTGATGACTGATGTAGAATATGAAAAAAGTATAACAGCCAATGCATAGGAAACTTCTGTAACAGTAATCTGTTTTCAAAATCAAAATTTGGACATCCTACTGAGTTTAGTGATTGAAGTTACCGGAAGTATTTAATTCATACTACTCATGCCACCCTGACGGTACTGCTCACGCCGGTTCGGCAATTTACATCAAATCAAGCATACCCCATCACCCACTACCTTCCTACATCTCTCCTCACATACAAGCAAGTAGCGTCTCAATCGTTACTCATAATAACATACCTATTAATGTATCTGCAATTTATTGTCCTCACGGTCTCATCACCACTATTGATCATTTCTCTGAATACTTCTCTACACTGGGACATCGCTTCGTCTCAGGAGGCGATTTTAACGCGAAAAACACAACATGGGGGAATCGCACTCCCAACACCAGAGGCAGAGCATTACAGTGCTGCATAAACAATAATAACTCTTCTTCCTTAGCTCCTCCTGGACCAACCTATTGGCCCTCTCACAACAACAGACTACCCGATATTTTAGATATCTTTGTTATGAAATTACCAAGTAATATACTCAGTGACCTTACCAACCTCTACGACTTGTCCTCCGATCACACCCCAATAATTCTCAAACTAGGTTTAAACGTCCCTCCATGCCAAAATGAAACTCTCACCCCCGGTCAAACAGATTGGTCTACCTTCAAAAACATTTTAAATAAAGACATAAAACTCAACATTTCCTTAAAATCAATCGATGAAATCAACAACGCTATTAATCACCTCACAACATCCATACAAAAAGCCGAAATAGCAGCTGCAAAACCCCAAGCAAATAAAAAAACAAAAAACCAAACTCCCCCCCATATACAAGCTCTACTTACTGAGAAACGTAGAACTAGGGCACACTGGCAAAACTTTATATATCCCAACGACAAGACCAAACTCAACAAACTAAATATCCAAATAAAAAAGGAAATCCAAAAGTACAAAAGTCAATCTTACAACACTTATGTAGAATCTTTAACCACTAAAAATATGTCTCTGTGGAAAGCAACTAAAAACATATTACGAATAAACCAACCCACCCCTCCTCTTAGAAAAGAAGACAATTCATGGGCTATTACCGACACGGATAAAACTAATATCCTAGCTCAGCACCTAAAAAACTGCTTCTGTCCTCATGATATTCAACCCAGTCCCACTCAACTGGAAATAGTTGAAAACTTCCTCGAATCTCCTCTCCCAATGTATCTGCCTGCCAAAGCCACATCCCCCGAAGAAATAAACAATGTAATAAAAAAAATCCCCATCAAAAAATCCCCAGGTAATGACCTAATTACCAACTTTATAGTCAAAAACCTACCTCGCAAAGTCATAATTTATTTATCCCATTTATTTAATGCACTGTTTAGATTATCATACTTTCCTGGGGCCTGGAAACACTCTATCATAATTCTTATCCTCAAACCAAACAAACCACCTGAAAATCCAGAATCATACAGACCAATTAGCCTTCTTCCCACCATATCAAAAATTTTTGAAAAAATTTTATTAAAAAGGCTCCTCTCCATCGCCACCAATGCTAATATCATCCCACACACTCAATTTGGGTTCAGAGCCCATCATTCAACCATTCACCAACTACACCGCACCGTCGATCACATCTCCAGAGCTCTGGAAAAAAAAGAATTCTGCCCCACCGTTTTTCTCGACGTCTCTCAGGCCTTTGACCGGGTCTGGCACGACGGACTACTCTACAAATTAAAAAAGTTCCTTCCAGCCCCGTATTTCCTACTATTAAAATCCTACCTTTCAGACCGTTTCTTCACTGTTCGTCTTAAAAACAGCTACTCAGTATGTCACCCTATTAAAGCAGGCGTCCCACAAGGAAGCGACATCGCCCCTTTCCTATACTCTGTTTTCACCCATGATATCCCAAAGACTCATTACACATTCATTGGCACATACGCTGACGATACCCTAATCTCGGCGTCACATCGCGATCCAGAAATTGCTAGCTCAAGGATCCAAAATCACCTCAATATGATCAACTTATGGGCAAACCGTTGGAAAATAAAAATAAACGAAACCAAATCAACTCACGTAACATTCACTTTACGAAACTCTGTCTGCCCCCCAGTTATGCTCAACAACAATGTCCTTCCAACAGCAAATGAAGTAAAGTACTTAGGGCTCACATTTGACAAACGTCTTACGTGGGGCCCTCACCTGAAACTAAAGCGTAAACAAGTCAACTCCAGGCTGCACCTCCTTAGACCTCTTTTAAAATCCAAACTATCCCTAACAAACAAGGTGACAATATATAAAGCGATAATCCGTCCGGCCTGGCTCTATGGCATTCAGGTATGGGGGTCCTCAAAGCCTTCAAACACTAGAACACTTCAAGCATTTCAATCAATATGCTTACGCCTAATCACCTCCTCCCCCTGGTACGTAACAAATAAAAATCTCCACAAAGATTTAAAACTACCCACTCTTAACGAATTGGCCAAATCCCACTATACCAAATTCTTTTCTAAACTACACACTCATTATAATCCTTTAATCCAAAAATTATCCTCTGCAACACATGTCCCTAAAAGACTAAAAAGGCTGTGAACTAGGAAACATCATTGCCCATTGGTACAAATATATATATTTTTAATTGTAACCAACGAGTCTCAAATTTTTATAAGATTTGTTCCAATTTATTGTGCAAATCTCGTTCAATATAAATTATTGATACATTTGTAAATCTATCCTATTCTTGGAAGTTCAAAGTCAATTCTAATGTTTCTGACTGCAGAGAATGATTATTGCATACCATAGAGCTGGTAAGAATTATTAATAAATAATAATGAAAACTATTTATTGGGCAAGTGGATACCACTCTATAGGTCACTGGATGTGTTAAATACTTAAATTTGAATTCAATGAAAAATCATTGCATAAAAAAAACTATTTTGAGCAAAAATATATTGTATCTGTCAGTCGATATTAGTATGTAATATATAAGTATACATTAAAATAGTATGATATTATTGCTATTAATGTAATTTATGAGTAATACAGTAGGTTGAATTCATTTTTGACGAAAACATCATGTACTTGAAAGTATCATTGTGTCTATATAAAGGTAAGAACATTATTTGTGTTTAACATTTCATTTTTGTATGTAATATATTATGACTATGAGTATAATATGAAATATGACAAATTAAAAATTCTTATACCTTGCTTAAAAATTAAAACATTGAGAAAAAAAGGTGACGCTTAAGCACAGATAATGTTGTTTCCTTTAGGTATAATAATTCACTTTAATATCTAAACTACAACATAAAATTGGTTCTGCTGAATTCAAATTGTATACCTACAACTATTTTAAGTTTATAAGACAGAGACAACATATGCATGGGGTATAACCTCTTACAAAATAAATTTTAAAATATTTTTTTAAGGAAATATTTACATTAATAAATACATAACTATAATATTATATCATTTACATATTAATAACAATACAGAAATTAATTTTGTTTAAGTCCTTTAAATCCACGAGCAAGTAGATATTTTTCAGCTGAATCTGATCGACTAGCTTCAGGTTTTACAAATTTCACATTTGAATAAAACTTTATCAAAGTATTTTCAATCTCTGCATTTTGATTACCATCCAGAATTTTAATTAAACATGCTGCGCCAACATTTGAATTTAAAACAGCAAATCTGCAAAATATAAATGGGTTAGGTTAGGTTAGGTTAATTCATGTTTTTCAGTTTTTAGGATTTTTGTGATCATTGTAATAATTAATTTTTCAAATTTCTTACTTAACTACTGAATACGCCAATTTTATGATTAAATCATGGTACAAATGCTTCACTCCGGTAGCGTTAGGCGCCATATCACTTAAGACAACATCTATAGGACGGCTATTTAATAATTCTTTTATCTTTTGCCAAGTTTTAGGAGATGTAAAATCAGAATTTCCTAATAATGTTACTCCTTTTATTGGATACATTTGTTGAAGATCAATACCAATCAGTAAGCCAGTTGGAATTTCACTATCTAATTAGATAACCAATAAGTACATGTTGATTTAATTAAACAAGAATTAGTGAATTAGTGATAGTAAAATATACAAAAGCACATTTTAAAGGAGAATTGTTTATCTCATTTTTATTCTTAATATAACTACAACATTTGACAATTGTTTAATGTGCTATCTACTACATATTTTGTTGTTTAGTATGCAGCTATCTACAGAAAGAACATTATCTACCAATGTGTGTCATACTACTAATATTTTTTTATAGGAATGTGCAATAAATACTAATTTAGTTGATATTTCAACGTACACCAAGTCAGTTGAAGTGTTGTTTTTTTAAAATTTTAAATGAGTTATTTAACAGTGGGTTATTTTTACTGGCACATCCTTGGGGACAAAGATATGTGTGCACAATATTTTAGGGAACGAGAATTACGCATAAACAAGATTACAGGAAGCGGAACTGAAACACAAACAATCAAAATGCTTTGGAAACGTGTAAAAAACAAGTATGGCATTAAATCATGCAGAGCTACTCACTTGTTCGAATATCAACATCAAGAAGATAATCGATTCTTGATTTGATAAAAATAAATATATTCTAAAATTATAATCTAAAATTCAACTTAAGCAGCAATTTGAACATTGATGTGGTTGAACAATTAATGTTTTATTATGTAGATAGATTATTGAATAGACGCTATACTTGTATACATATTATCAATGACTGTGCAGAACATTAATGGTAGGTAACCAACAAATTTATACTTTTAAAAATTAATTTGTGCTATTAGTATAACAGTAACATACTAATAAAGAACCATTCTTAAAAACATAACTTACTAGTAGCATTTGAATTAATTCTAGACGCAGCTACTTGTGACCAGCTACCCGGAGCTGCACCAATATCTATTACACATTGGCCTGGTTTCAATATAGAAAATCTATCATCCATTTGCAGCAGTTTGAATGCACTTCTACACCTGTGATGAAAATGTAAATGCATATTTTATTGTTTTTGTTCAGCATTATGTTAATGATATTTTTACATTTAACTATTACGTGTAATTTAATAAACAACACAATTAAAAAATAAATAAATATATTTCATCTACAATACCTATAACTTTTTATTTTGGCTTTTTCCACATAAGGATCAGTTTTTTGTCGTAATAGCCATTCTTTTGAACTGTGGTTTCTTGTAAATGTTTTCAGAAATGACCAGCTTTTACAAAACGTTATTTTTTCCATTATATTAACTCAACAGTTATAAGATTAATACTTAAAATAACACATTGTAACATTAAACTCGTAATTCTGCACCATTAAAATTTTTAAATTTTCAATAGGTAAGAATTAATAGTTATATTTTTAAGACACCGATTAAATTGAAAGGATATTAATATGTACTTTATTGATAATATTTAAAATGATACTGTTACGTTGTTATCACAGAATGGATTATGGACATAGATAATGTTATATTATCTATGATTTTGGAAAAAAGTGTGGAACAAATGTGTAGTGGAAAAAGTGATTACTGACTGAATGAAATATTTTTTAGAACAAGCATCGTGGATGGTGCTATGAACTGGCAATTTTAAATTTTTAACCAATACCGGCAATACCGCCATAACTTAATTTTTAAGAACCTATACTTCAACTATACTAGTATTAGTCTACACTAAACAGTTGTACCTATATAGAGTCTATAATATTTTCTGGGCTCTTTAATAATTAACTTACTAATTTACTCATTATATCACTCATTAGTTAGAAGGAGTCATGGAGCCAACAGACAACTTTATGCTAGTGGTGGCGGCGTGGCAACCTCTGAATTTGAAAATCAGGGAAACGGTGGATTTTTTATTTTAATGAAATTTCATTATATCAGAGCAAGCATTTTAAGGAATAAGAGGGGGATATCGATGTAGGTATGATGTATGAATAATACGAAAAATATAGTAAATATTATAGTTGGCGTGGATTTGTTTGGAAAATCTTGAGTTTGTGAAAGATGTATATTTAATTTGTAATTTTGTGGCGGGGGAGGAGGGGGAGGGGTGGTTTAAAACAGCTTCCATCGCTGCGAGGTGTTGATACGCCGCTCGCCATACTGTTGTTAATTATTTGTTATATACTGTATAAGTATAATACACAGTTCTTGGCTTTTAGTATAAGGTCTATGCCTCTATGGTTGTACGTTGGTAACTTTAAAGCACCTACCTATATTCTATAAGGCTATAAATATTAGTTGTTATAGCGCCTATGCGGTCTATTATCACAGATATCTGCAGGTCTCTTAATGTTTTGTGTTCTACCATGGGATATGGATAAAATGTTCGCATTGGTTTTCTTGTTTTATACCATTTTGACATTTTGTATTTGTGCTTCCCAGTGCATGTCATCGATAAAACCAAAAGTATACCTTTTAATAATGTCTTTCTTCTTCTTTCTTCTTGTGGCTTTTATAACTTTCTAAGAGTGCCACCAAAACAACATTGCACCAACTGTCCATGCCATGTACCAGTTCTCTCCACGTGTCAATTTCCGTGTCTTTCAGGTCTTCTTCGACTGAATCAATGCATATTTTCCTAGGTCTTCCCCGAGGTCTCTTTCCATGTACTTAGTTTCCATTCCATAACTGATTTGACTAAATTATTGTTCCCTCTTCTCTTAGATAATATTTTAGAGTCACCTTTTAATTATTATTGTATGTAAAGAAAATGTGGGGAATGAATGAAAGCTTTTTATAGAGAGGTACCTACTTGGCTGAGTATTGGTGGCGAGTGGCGACTGGCAAAGTGGCAAGGCTTAAATAAAAGTGGTAATATGTTTGGTTAGTTCTAAAGAGATATGAAATTATCTTTTGTGGATAATCCATAACACCTTTTTGCATTCCTAAAATGCATGCATATTGTTATTTAATAAATTAAAATAAAATCAATTTTTTTTACTGAAAATCTAATTGTCGTCACTTTTGATCACTATTTTTTTATATATAAAATGTAGGAAGCCACATACTAAACGGTAGACCACTTACTTTCACTGGTAGGGGAGCTGATAGCAGAAAGGGTTGAAAAAATGTTGGCCCTCTTTGAAAAAGGGTCTAATATTTTCAACTAAATATAGCCATTCTTCGAAAGTGTGGACGTATGTGGGTACCACTGGGTCCTCGGAAATATAATCAGCAACACATTCTCTATTTTGAGGATAGCTGTTACGTGAACCATGTCACGATTATAAAGAACTTCTTAATAATGGTGAACCATGTATACTTATATAGTTATATATATGCCATGAACTAAGACGAATAAATGTAAATTTTGGATACTAATTTAATTTGGACAGATTGACTTTAGAACAAAGGGTAGTGTTCCATGATATGATCTGAGGATGCAAAAAACAGATAAAAAGTTCTTCTTATCTGAGCCTTGATAAAAAAATAATTGATAACAAATAATAAAGTATTTAAATATAATAATATGAATTAAATATTGGAAAATTAGCATAATATTACGTATTGCGTAATAACAACAGAACAACTATTGAACCATGTTTATGCTGTGAAACAAGCATCTATGTTTTTACTACTATACATATTACATTTAATGGGCTACAGTATTATAAAGAACTAGCACAAATTATACTGTAACATAATTAATGAAAAATTATTTATGCATTTTATTATTGGTTAAACTTATTTTACTCTATTACAAATTACATCAATGTAAGTATTTTGTGACTTTTCATATTCATCATAATCATTGGTTTTATTCTTATATTTTTTTTAGCGATCTAATGGATCATTGCTACGATGAGGATGTTTTATTTAACCAATTTTTGATATCTCTCTGCAAATCATCTGCAGAAATATTTTATAAAGCTGTTGAAAATGGATGGCCTATATGTGTTCCCAGAGAAGGTTCCTTCTCTAAAAATAAGTATTCTGAAAAAGATTTCAATGATCACATTTTAACTCCTAGTAAGTGTTCAGATTTAAAATTTACTACAATAAGTGGCTACGATGTCTCTGTAGACAACAATGCAGTTGTATGTCAATATGAAAACAAGACTTATACAGTGGACATACTATTTATTGAAACATGCTATACGGAAGATAATCACAGTTATAAAGTAATATGCATAGATGGTCCATTAAATTGCGCTACTATGTTGGAAGATATTATTGTAATAACATCTGTTCAAGACTGTTTGAATTTTTTGTATTCTAAAAGCAATAAATTATTATTGAAGGATCTAAGATCTTTAATGGATGATTTTTTATCGTCCAATGATTATATTAATATGTCTGTCGAAGTCAAGAAAAAATCCATTGAAAATTTGTATATTAAATGTTTGAAGAAAGTAAGCTACCATACTAAAAAGTCTAATAATTTTTTTCAAAACAATATTAAACTTGCAGTAGAGTATTATATACAAAATAAACTGTATAGTGTTTTGATGGATAATATAAATGTCTTAATGGCAGCAGATGACGCCAAGTTAAATAAACTTATTCGAAATTACTCTAGTGCTATGATTGACTTAGAAGTAGACCAAGAAGCAAAAACTGCAATACCAAATGCTAGATGTGAATTATCCAAGTTATATTTACATAAGACTATTATTGGGAAGTTTAAATGTTTAAAAGATACATTTTTAAAATTGTCTAATGGAAACAATAATTTTACAGTGGATAACCTGCTAAGTGCTTTAGTTCATTTAGTCATACATTGTAAAATACCTAATTGGAATGCTCAAATATATTTTATGAAACATTTTGTTATCAGCAATATAAAGGACTTTGATGATAATTTCTATTTAACTTCATTAGAAGCAGCTATTGAACACATTAAAGTTCATAATTTTAATCTTAAATTATCAACAAACTTCCCCGATTCAAATTATGGTACTTTTTATAATTATATTTGCAATGGAGAGTACTACAAAGTTAAAGAAACCTTAGAATATGTGAAAATACAACAGTCTAGCTCAAAATGTCATCCTTTATGTGAATGTGATTCTTGTATGAAAGAGGTATTAAAAGAACCTGCAGTTTGTGTGAAGTATAAAGATGAACAGGGTCTTACCCCTCTACATGTAGCAGCGTTTTATGGTTATCCACTCATTATTGAATTACTGTTAAAATATGGATCAGACATAAATGCTTTAGATAATTTTTCACTTACACCTGCCCATTATGCTGCCCTTAGAGGACAACAGAATGCATTATTATTTTTGTTACATAATAAAGCATTGATGATTGGAGACAACGAAGGTAACACTCCTTTGCATTTGTGTTGTTCAAATGGTCATGATCTTTGTGTCAAAGCATTGTTGTATTTTATGGAATTTTCAGACTCAAAATTAAATATAAATGTACAAAACAATCAGGGAGACACACCTCTTCATTTAAGTTTTAAATGGGGCTACACTAATGTAGTCCAAATACTGATTGAACAAGACGGAGATCCATTAGTGCGTAATCGTAGAGGTCAGACTTGTTTTGATTGTGCTCACAATTCCAAAATGGTTGAGATGTTTAAAACCAATAAAAAAAACTATACGGAAAGAGTGAGAAGAAGTAGTGTTGAAATAACATTGCAGCAAAAAATGATTGGAAAAATAATAACTGCTATATCTGATGGTGACATACGTTTAGTTCAACACTATTTAGGCATTGATGATGAAAATCAAAACATAAATACGTTTGTTGATATAAATTGTTCTAATTATAAAGGCTATACTCCTCTTCATGTAGCAGCAGCCAAAGGCCAAACAAACATTTTAAAAATGTTGATTGGATATGGGGCGGACATTAATTCATTGACAACTTCTGAACAGTATACAGCATTGCATTTGGCTGTTAAGAACAAAATGACAGGAGTTATTGATGTTCTCCTAGATTCAAAAAAATGCAATATTAACAATCAGGATAATAGTGGCAATAGTGCATTACATTATGCATGTACAATTGGTGATGCTAATATAATAACTAAACTCCTTGAACATGGTGCTGACCTCGGAACAATTAACAAGAAATTTATAAGTGCTTTAGATATTTTAAACAAAAATACAGAATTAAGGTAAACAAAATGAAATTATATCTGTTAACTAACTAACACATTTATGGACTAGATAACTTTAAAAAAAAAACTTTTAAAGCTCCTCACATAATGCAGCGATAGTGGGAAAAAGAATCCGTACACTATATTTCACCATTAAGACTAAATGATTTTACCATCACCGCTGCAGTCTGTGAGCTAAAACCACATAATAAATACAATTTTTTCTAATCTATGGTAAAATTGGCCATTTAAAATTAATATAGCTTAAGCTATTTATAGTTCACTTAAATATTATTAAGGTATAAAAATAAACAAAGATATACCATAATGTAATCATCTGAAAATAAGAAATTGAAAACATGCATGTCTTTGTGTACAATAATTATAATAGTTCAAATAATATCTTGTATTTAATATATGTTCCAGGCACTTGATTTCAGTTAAAAAAATTCACTGATTCACAATAGAGTGAAATATTATTTGAATCTTCATACAATAAGACGTTTAAAGTTTTATGCAACAAAAAAAAGATCTATTTACTAATTTTTGATTTTGAAATTGTATTGTTATATAATATAAAAATAAAGAAGAACAATGTGTACAGCTAATATATTTTCTGAGAAAATTAATATCTATTTAATAACCTAAATAAATAAAAATTGTTTTGTGTTAACATGTTTTGTTTAAACTGTTTAAAAATGTTTATATAATATTTTACGATAAATGTTTTTTATAATGAATTAATAAATTGTTTTTTATATTTAAATACTTTGTAAAAGAAAATACTCATATTGTCACACAAATTTTCCTGTATACCTGTCAGAGAAATTGAAATAGTGATTCAATAAACTGTAATAAATAATAATAAACACCTTTTAAGTTTTTATTATAGCCAAATTGTTCTGGCTATCGTGCTTACAGGCACATAATTATTATAATCAACACTTGGCTTAAACAGGTACATAAAACATATGACCTGTGCCCAGGCAATGTTCAATAACTAAAAAATAATTATTAATTACATGTTACAACACTATACTATTAATTAGATCATGTTTGAAGGTTTATCTGCATTTATTTAGTGATTATGACCTGCAGACTCCATTATATATATGACCACATCCTTTATTCCTAATTCCTATAATCCTATTGCCTATGATTACCTGGTACTGTACAACTATCACAAAAATATTAACGTGTTCTGGGTGTTCTTTAAAAATTCAAAATTATTTCATATTTCTCATTCATCTTACCGTGCATTCTGTTATCTTTTTAATACATCCTGATTTGTTTGATAACAGCCACACAAACAAGTAACATCATAATGATGCTGATAATAATAATAACAATATTAAATATACGTATGTCGTTTACCAAACCAACTGCGAGCTTCCATCGTCCCTGTATAAATTGTGTATTTTCAAGAAGTATTTAGTTTTAAGATTTAGATATTTTGATGGCAATTGTGCTGTCATGTTTCAAAAGATGCTTCGACGGCATCAAGTACACAGAACATACATCCTTTCCACTAATCAACCCTATATGTTTGAATACCAGCCGAATGGGTACAGGACACTATACAATATGTAGAATGATCAATGTGTGCATTAATTAAAATTTGCTTATAATCGCAGGTAATGAAGTAGTGATCGTGAAGAATGGCACCAGGATATGCGGTAGTGGTGGTGTCTTGTGTACTGCACCAATAGTGCAAAATAAATGTTACTTTGAAGTAAAAGTGCAACAATCTGGTAAGTGAAACAGCTGTGTGCTTTGGTTTCAATTAATTTAAATATTTATATGTATATTTCTGCTTAGGTATCTGGGGAGTAGGTTTAGCTCTGAATGATATAGATCTGTGTAAAGCACCCGGTGGTCACGATCAATACTCATGGGTGTTGTGTAATGATGGAGCACAACGACATAACCAGCAAGTGTTAAAAGCTATAGATAATACCATTGAAGAAGGTGATATTATTGTAAGTATTAAAATCATTAAAAAAACCTCGGTTACTATAAATTAATAAAATATTATTTTTAGGGTATTTACTATGACCATGTTGAATTAAACTATTCGATTAATGGCCAACCAGTGAATGAACCAATTACAGGAATAAGAGGAACTGTATTCCCAGCTTTATTTGGTCAGTAAAAAAATAAATTCTATTTATTTAACTATTACAGACATGGTGTAAACTTTTATTTTAACATATGGTTTTTTAAATTATAACTATAAAATATGTTAAACAATAACTATGATGTTTTGGGTTATTATATACTATTATATGTTTTGTTTGATACATATTTGGTTGACTAGAACATTTCAGAGAACCATTAAATTAATCAATTTTTAATGCAACTAGGTATATAACAAATAATGGGATCCTTATTTTCATAAAAAATCCGCTTTACACAATACTTCATATGTAAAAGAAATAATGAGTTTATTTTTGCAAGAATGAGACAGATCGAACAACCAATATTCAAATAATGTACTTGGTGAAGTTTGATTCTTTACTTTTTGGCAAAAAAACAGAGTTTCAAGAGAATATTATAATGAATAAAATAATTACTAAGATCTGGTCAAAATACAACATAGCTCCAAAATTAAATTTTATTTTTACTTTCTGAAGTTTTGAAAAATTGAATTGTCTGTTTTTTTTTGCACAGATCCCTTCAAATACAATTTTCTCAAACTTAAATCTCTGTTACAATGACAAAAAAAACAAAACAGGAAAATATTAAAAATATTTAGCCTGAAATGACTTATCACGCTGTAAAAAAAAAATATATAAGCTAATTACAATAGTAGGCATTGGCATTTTTGTATTTCATATAGTAACAAAGTGACGGGCTTTGCTGCCTACTGTGTGCATGCACACATGTTCGTAACCCCCTATTACAGCACTATAGCTTTGCCTACTGCTGCATTTTTTTAATAATAGATAACTGTGCTCTCAGTATCACCTGGCAGCAGTAATGTCGGCATGAGTTTTAATATTCGTATAGCTGTTACAAATTGATTGTCACGGATTAGCTAAATCTTAAAATACCTATTAAAAATTGTATGAAAATAAATTTTACAATAGCATTAAAATAGTTGATGTTAATTATATATATTTTTTTTGTTACAGCTACTTTATATTAAAATTGTGTGATAACACTTTTTTCAGAAAATCATTTTTGTGCTTGTTTTGGCATATTACAATATTTTTGATTATCAATATACAATTTATCTATGTACTATCTATACTATAATTATAAATGTTTAACACGACAAAGTATTAAATTATATTGTATTTATTTCAGTGGATGATGGTGCAATATTAGACATAGTGTTGGAAAGATTTTCATACCCACCATCCAACGGATATGATAAAATCATGTTAGAGCAATCTATACTTTAACTATATTTTGCATAAAAACTAAAATGAATAACAAATAATATATTTATCATTCCATTAATCATAAATTATAATTTTATATTTTTTCTATAAATTGTTTTATTTTTATGCATAATTTATTAAGTGCATTTGTAAGCTAATAAATTAAATATTATTATGTAATTATATTAACTGAACAATTTAGAAGGTTTGCTTTATTAGTAGTTGTACAATAAAATAATAAAATTGAATATTTATTAACTTAAAAAAAATGTTCTTTGTAACTGATAACTTAAACAAGAAAAAAAAAACTATTCATTTATAATTTATATTTATAACAGATAAGTACTTAAAATACTTGTTCTTGTGCTCCTATAAACAAAACAATGTATACTTTGTGCCTTCTAACTGTTCTTAGTCACCCTAGGATAAATTGTATCAATTTTATAGTACACATAATCAACCAGTTTAATTAAAGAAGATATTATTATTTATTTATTTTTACAAATATAATCTTTACATAAAAAATATTATTAGCCCTTTGAACAAAACTTATAAATATATTTCAGTATTTTAAAAATCAACAATGTAAAATGTAGTTTAACCAATATTTAAAATAGATTATAAGACTAATAAATACTTTAGCGTAGAAACTACAAGTTAAAATGTATCTTTTTTTTATTTTATTTTTTATTGTTATTTAACTGGTTGTATACATTATAACCATATTATAAAAACATTTTACTCTTTTCCTATTTCTAGTTAAATATGTTGCATTATTTGATGTACTTAGTATCCACCTGTCTATATGTTATGTGTATAATATATATAATATAATAAGTTTAATTATATCTGATCAATAAATTCAGAATCTCAGTTTAACTAAAAATATATTTAATTTTTGTAACCATATTGTATCTTATTCTTCAATTTATAATCATGTTTGAAAATAAAAAAATCTTTTATTACAATATGTCGATGATAATGATGTGATGCTTAATCAGTTTTCATTATTAGCAGAATCTTGTCAATCCGGAGAAAAATACCTCTATTAACATACTTTATAAATTAAAATGCAGAAGAGCATGAATGAATGGATACTATTGTGGACAAAAAAAATGTATAATAAATATAATATAAATAAATATAATTTATTTCATATCAACTTATACAATGTTAACACTATAATAGTTTTTATAATCAAATTCAGACTTATGTGGACACATACAAATATTCACATTTTAAATATGATTAACTAATTATTATACAAGCGTTTAATATATTTTCTCTCAACTCTACAGCATACAAATTACTAAAATATATTTAAGTTTGAGATATTAACTGTTAAGATTGTCAACTTACTGTATACACATAATTTGATTTAATGTATACATATTTATGCATTTCTATTATATATAAACAAAATATTTGGTAAATAATAAGTATATTTTAGAAAATATAATTATAAATAAACTATACTTTAAAACATTCACAGCTATAATTGTAATAAGCTTCCCAATAGGTGGTTAAAATAGTTTGGTATTTCAGGTATACAAGTTATCAGTAAATTAAAATAATGTAGGTCATTTGAATTTAATTCCGTTAATATTACAGTCTCGAATAAAAGTAATAATTGATAATGAAGAATTCAAATGATAACTTTGATCATAATGTATTTAAGATTTAATGACATATTTTGTTTTCATCTGATATGTATATTTTAGTGATAAATGTTAATTCAATTTAAAATTCTGTAGGGTGGTCAATTATCTATTTACATTTATATTAATTGTTAAATTAAAAAAAATTAAAATTTTATTGGAATGGCTTAATTATTGTGGATAAATATTGAATATTTTTAAAATTGAATTTTACGTCTACATATTATTTTCCTTTTCTTATGATATGAGAATATAGTATTTGTAAGAACATTGTTCCTTTAGTGCGACAATTATTAAATTATATTAGTATATATAAACTATAACTAATAAAATTTTAACGTGATTATTATTAAGTTGTATTCATATTTTTTAAACTGAATACATTTAATTTAGTTTTAGTATTTTGGCATGGCAGGAACAAGCTCGGGAAATGGTTAAAGTATATTTTATACATATTATTATATAATATACATACTTTCAATAAACAAGAGATCTGTTACTTTTCTTTGTTGTTTTGTTTAACAAAAATAATTAATGCTACGTATAATTTACCTCGTTGTCAGCAGCTTCAGTCTCTACTTCTTTTTCCCAGTCAAATGCAGTTTGACTTGGCAGTTGGCCTAAATGTGCCCATCGTTCTTTAAAATTTGGGTTTTTAGCTCGTAATTTTTCAAATCGTCTATTAAGGAGAAAAAAAATGAATTATTGTGCAAGTAAAATTAATATCACATAATACAGTACCGAAATAAGTAATGTTTTGCAAAATTGTACAGTTCTATGTCTAATGCATTTATTCTTTTCACTTTTTCCAGCTCTTCATCATTTAATAAAGATTTATAAACTGCAGATAGAGTTGTATTGTGTTGTGTAAATGTTACCGCAAATCTTAAATTAAATGTTTCTTCAAATATGTACTGATTTAACTGAAAATAAAAGTACTTATATAATAACTAATATTCCAAATATTTTTTTGTATTCTTTACTTTTTGAAATTCAGTGAGTCCAAAAAATGCAATTGACAATAAATTTCTTTTAGCACTTGCAAGCATGACTCTGTTTCGTTCTTCTTGATTCATGTATGAAGAATTATAACAACCAATCAGAGATAAATCTGCTAGCATTCTTGTCTGTCTAAAGAATTATTATAAAAAGTAACTTTTTAACTTTCCATTCATCCATTTATAAAGTAGAAGAACTATTTTAGTAGCTAATTATTATTATTTTTTTATAATAGTATGAGAGTCAAAATAGACTAAGAAAGAATTTTTTTTTTTTGTTTTATCCAAGTTATTGGCATTTAAAGACACCTTACCCACATGTATTTTCACCATCATACAATTAATTTACAGCATGGAAAATGCTACATTCAAAATTATCCATTTTACTCTGCTGTTTTAAAAATTAGAGTGAAATGATTTATTATTAAATTTAAAGGTACAATTATTATTTAGATCATCACAGATGCTTTTATTGATATTTTAATTAAAAAGCAATTTATGATCATTTCAAAATGAACTGTTTTAGAAATTCTCATAACTTGCTTTGTAATTATTATATAAATAAAATTCTCCATGATGTCCTAATCAGAGGTACCCAAACTTTTCCTACTCGTGGGGAAAACACGCTCTTTTAGAACTGAAGTTTGCTCATGGTGCCCTTAGTAAAACTTACGACCTTTTTTTAAATAAAATAGATAAAATAACAAACATATATACATAACAGAGTCAGCAGCGGGGCACATCTGCGGCTTCCCTGAAAACACACCGCGACGCACAGTTTGGGAATCTCTGTCCTATATAATTATCTTTCCTTTAAATTTTATAAAAGGTCAATTTACTATAATTTTTCAAACAACAGAGAAAAATGAATTATTGTGAACATAAAATTTGTTATGTTGTACGATTCTATAAAAAAAAACAAGATATGTGGGTGTGGCATCCTCTTGATGTATAAATAATAAATACTAAACATTTTGATTACCGATTGGCAGCTAAATTATGTGAACAGTCTGCAAACGAATTTAATGTAACATCCGTCCAAAATGTACCATTATAACATTTAGGCAATTCTTCAAGTGATGCTGGATGACCCCCACACCAATGTCTAGACATTCTCCAAGTAGCTCCTCTTTGCACATGTTTGTATTCAGAAAGGTAACGGCTAACTGGATCTCTCAATAAAGTAAGATAGAAATATCTACAAAGATAATTGAATGGATTGGTTTTATTTAGGTGGTGATCATTATTACTCTAATTACCTTCGCTTAATGGATTTCCCTTCATTTTTGTCAAGTTCTGAATCAACACATCCAGTTAATTCAGTAAAATCTGCATGGAGTCCACATTTCCAACCAGTAGAATATCGACTAAATAGCCAATTTTCATTTCGACTAGGTCTGAAACAATAGCATAATTTTCTTTTCCTTTGACATGTACAAGGGCGCTGTAAGTCTAAATCTTGAACAAGATGACGTCCAAATGATGTCCCACCAGTTTTCTGTATATGTAAAAACACCATGACATCATGAGCATTCATGTCAAAACGTAGTTGATTTTCACTCTGCATATCATTGTAACTCACTCCTGTACCTGTGTCTTTGGCACTTTTTAAGTCTAAAATAAAAACAATGATTGAAGAAATAAATAAATAGATATAATTTGTAAGTCATTCTTTACCAGTTATGTTGGTCGATAGAAGATTCATTACTGTCCATTCCGAATAAATTGCAGGTTTAGGGTTGTAGGATAATGAGCAACGGTTGTCTGAACAAAAATAACCAAAATATATGATACCAAATAAAGTCAACAGTGCAAAAAACATGACCAGTTTCCTTAGGGTAATACGATGCTCTATTTTTCTTCTCATTAGAATGTCTTTTAGCAACTGTTTGCAGTCCGATTGCTCAACTACATAGGTAAAGGCCATTTTGTACCAATCATTTCATCTAGTTGGTCATACAGACTCATTCACCCAACAGGCAAGTATTACTGAATATTTGTGCTGGCAAGGGACGTGTATGAAAAATGTATCGTCAACATGACAGCAAACCAAATTTATGACACCGACTTAGATATTCATAAAGCGGTATAAAAATAATTAACTAGCCTGTGCTCTGACGGTAATCAACAAATAACAATGAATAATAAATAATGAAAATATTCAAATAGTAAATGCCTATTTAGTATTTACATCCTTAATCTTAAAAATGTCTGTAAATTAGATTAACTGTTATCGTAATCTGATAACCTTACAGTGTGATCAGTCCAATCACGTTTCCAGCACTGCTTTTCGATGTCAGGTCTATGTTTGAGCGCAATTTAGATTGATATTTTGAATTTAGTAGCGCACCGCAGCTCGTTACTGCATCAATATATTATACCCAGTGCAATATACGACAGTGATATACTAAGTTATCTGTAGTTTGATGTTGTGTTTTAATTTCAGAAGTTTAATAAAATATCGGTATTGTATGAAATTCATGACTGGTGACATATTATTTGTTGTTTGATTATTTAATATATTGTTTACCGCTATACATTTGCAGTATTTTCTGCAATGAAGATTATATGGATTACCCCATTATTACTGATCCAGAGTTACCGTAAGTAATGACAATTAATATTAATTTTATTGCATTAAGTTTATATATCTTATCTTCATATATAATTTATACACTTGTATTGTATTCCTATAGAATTCTTGAACCAATACATAAACTTATCACTTATGTACAATTCCATATATTCCAACTTAAAATTTAGGTTTGTCCCCAAACTTTTATAATAATATCAAATTCTTTTGTTTTTGATTGCAAATTTTTTTAATTATTTATTTATACAAGTATGAAGTACGTGTCTCTAAATATAATATTACGTATTTATGGGTTTAGTATAAAAGTAGGTATATGCTAACATATTATAGTATAAATACTATCAGTTACATACTTACGTCTATCTGAAATTCAAAAAATTTTAAAATTTATTTGTACAAAATACTTGTATTTTAGATTTCCAGCAGAGTTATTTGAGCATGTTATTATTTTTATTTGTTTTTACCTGTGTTTTTCGTAACCTTTATGAGCAGTTAAGTGTTTCAATTTTCAACATCAATATATTTCCTGGTATTAAGACTCAAAAGTATAAAAAATATTCAAATTTCTCAGTATATTTCTTAATAACTAGGGATAAACAACAAATAAGGGAATTTTAGAATTGTTCATACAGTTTATTTATATACATACAGTTTACTATGGCAAAAATTGTGAACTTCCCAGGGGCGCCCCCAAAAAATCAGCTCAGTGGGTGCAAAGTTAAATTTTTGTGATACACACATAGGAAATCACATATTTGCATTAATACACACTGATTTTTTGGTTCATTTAAAAAATCCCAGTGGGTGCAATGGCACCCACTGGCCCCTCTCTGCGGGCGCCCCTGGAACTTCCAGTTATTATTTCATTAATAAATAGGAAAAAACAGGACGTTTTACACAATACACGCTTTGTCTAAAATCAATTTTTTTTATAATTTTAGAATTCCTAACTCTAAATAATGTACAAATTTTCGTGATTTTGTGGAATTTTGTTGATATTATAGTTTCAGAATTTTGTGGATTAACCCTCATTTTTTTTTAATTTCCACTGAGAAGAACATATGAGAAATTATGTAATACATTTTTAAGCTTTTCTACTAAGAAAAAACATGACCAAATAAAAGTTATAAATTACTTATACTATTACGTAGGTACTCGTAACTCGTAAGCATTTAACTAATTTTAGAATAATGTTAAGTATGATAGACCACACTACTACAAGGCTTGATACTTCTTGGAGTTACATTGTTCCACGCGTGAAAATGCCCTGCGATCAGTCTGCAAAAATACGATATTGGCCATTTATTGCCAGTTGTTATATATTTTGAAGTTAATTATTAACAATTCTTACTTATTACTTATTGTTAATATTAATCATAATTCAATATCAGATTTTATGTGATGATATAAATTGGTTAATAATTGAGTAAAACTAATTATTTTCATATGTTTTTCATCCACTATCTAGACATCCAGATTTATTGATGTTCATAAAATCCTACTGTCAGATGTTACTAAAGCAGTGAAACCCCGAAGTAACGCTTAAGCACAACACTGAATAGGCCCGGAAAAAACATTTTGACATAGCCCGGATATTCGCTAAGTCGGCCCTGGACTTGACCCATATACCCAATGAATTCGATATTATATTATTATGTTATCATAGGTAATCATACACATCTATACTTACGAATATACCGTATACGTCATACTACATTCAATATTATATCATTTATATCATATGCTGTCTGCTGATATACTCTATAATAGTGTCAATTTATTAAATTGAACTGTATACAGTTATACAAATATTATAATATTATATCTAAGTTTAAGTATTATATCTAACTATCTAAGACCCAAGTATCTACCTAAATACTAAATCTTCAGCAATAAAAAGGTGCCTATACATTATACTTACATTTTATATAATATAATAATATAGGTACTTAGGAACATAACATGTTTGTATAATATTATATTATTAACAAATTTCATCATACTTATAAATTATAATGTTTCACCCTATCTACCGTAGTACCGTCACATTAAATAAAGTATTAACATTGTATGTCGTAATATATATTGAACGTAAGAGTACTATCCACGACAAAATATAATACGAGTATACTATACCTACTGGCCACTATATATATACATAATTTATAGTGTTGACATGTATATTTGATAATATGTATAAATTATAATAATAGTACTACCTCATACCTCTCATAGTATATGTAGTATATACATTATACACATTACTAGACACAAGTCATGAATCACGATACAAATAATAATGATGGGTATCTACTTAGATTATTTCCTACTCTATACGGTAGATATATAGGTATTAAATACTAAAGAATAAATAGAAAAGGATATTATTTAAATTATTCGTATCCCATATTATTAAGTATTAACTGAGCAATAATTCCGTATGCGAGTCTGTACATTTTTATTTTTTTCTCAAAAACAATCCCACGGATTTTGTATTTAGATGTTTTTAGTATTTTAAGTATTTTGCCTTATTTGCCATGACTATTCATGTTTATGAGTTATGCTAGAAAAATTTGAAAAATATATTGAAGTCTGAAGTATTGTTATTATTTGATTAGGAACCTCTCAGATTGAAATGTTCGTTTATAGATTGGCACGAATGGACGATATAGAAAATCACGACTATCATTCGAATCAGGAAATCGTATATGTTAATCAATATTATGTAGAGTTGGGAGAAACCACGATGTACCTGTCTAGTATCAACGCCTTTGGAGAAAGGCAATCGGACATCTTATTTTTATCTCATTACCTACTATAAAATATCCTTATTTTTATTTTATCATAAAAAAAATGGAAAAAGATTTATATTCAAACTAATATAATGATTTTTAAATACTGAATCCGAGCTAACTATGTCACCCGCGGTAGTAATACTAATACTACTCATTCTAAATTTAATTTACAGGTACAATTGGTTCACATTTACAAGAAGAATACAACCAATATGCGTTATACCAGAAGAGACCTTTAAGTCCTCGACCATTGGATACAATGGCAGATTTAACCAATGACCTTGGAATATGTGTTTTGCGGGTATGTATACAGCAATTGTACACTTATGTATTTATAAAACCGTGACGGTTCGCTGGCCGGGACAAAACTAATAATATAAAAAATCATCCTTACTTAGAAATATAAAAATAAAACGATTTACTTTTTATAAAGAATCCAAACAATTTCAATTAAAAAATTCACATTTATAGTGGAAATCAAGGCCGAATTCATTTTTAATAATATTTAAGTAAATTTCTCAATGTTACAATAATATATTAGTTTAACTGTGCATGACATTATTTCCGCAATATTAGCTACCAAAATTCAAAATTTGGTACTGGTTTAGTTGACGTTTGCCAGGAAAGTATTCTCCCGCCACTCTGCAGATTCAATTGATGGCTATTTCTATCGTATTTTTGATGTTCTAATAATTTGTTATTCAATTTATAATTAGTTTTATTGTCATGGTAAGTTAACTTTTTTGCTAAAATCAGAGATTTAATATATTCTACTTTATAAAAATTAATTTTATAGGTAAAGAATTATATTCTAATTTCTAATAATGAATTTGATTAATTTAGTTGTGGAAAATTAGGTAAATAAACAAATACATAAAATGAATTTAATTATTTTGTTGGATATCATTATTGATTAAACTATAATAAAGTATAAGTATAAAAGTATTTTGTATTTATTATTTTTATTTTAAATGTATAAACTACCTAAATAAGGTATAAATACTGTGTGATGATCAGAACATCGTAAATACTAGGGATATACATATACGTAACTGGAGGGGAACCAGTAGATTTACCTAACATTTTTTATTCAAGTTTTTTTACTTAAACTTACAATTTATTCTTACAAATATGCTTATAAATTGAATACTTATTAGTTATTAATGTAACTTGAATTAAAGATGTTCGATTTGATTGATAAGCTTTACGGACATAGGGAGTCATAACATTTATAGGTAATGTTGTGCCCACACTATAGAAACACAAGCCTATTACAACTTCAAAATTATTTTATTTATTGACGAACTTAAAAACGATTTATCGTTATTATTATACCTTTATATAGTTCAAGTTTTAAAACTGAATAATTTTAAATAATTTTAATAGATCTATATATTGCGCCCTATTCTTATATTACACTTAACTTTTTAAATGTCGCGAATGAAAACTTCCATTAGTTCCACTGTTTACAATCTTCAGATAAAAATTATTAAATAGGTATTGTTTAGTATTTTATGTAAAATATACTATCTGATTGTAAAAAATCAAAATTGTCATAGAGTCATCAGTACATATGAAGGTAACCGTGTGACTATAATACACATATACCAAAGTTTCAAAATGTGTGTTTCATATATATATGGTATTTCATAGGTAATAGCTGCCGGTGGTGCGACTGGAAATATTGCATTTTCTCCTTTTGGTTTAATGGCAGTATCAGTTCTACTTTATGAAGGATCGAGTGGGTATTCTGCATTGCAAATAAAAGAATCCCTTAATTTACCTTGGGAAATCCTTGCTGTCAGAATTGGAGTTCGGGATTTAAATCGTTACCTTAAAGTAAATAGTTGAATGGTAATATTTGTAAAGAATAAATATTTAAATTGACGGAAACATTTTGATGTTTTAGACATATTTCAAAAGTGATGGATTTTTAAATGGCCTAACCATGAGCAGAGAAGAAGTATGTCTCAGGCCACAATTCAAACGAGTACTCCGGCTGTACGGTTTTGACGACCCCAATAGTTTTCTTTTCGATTCGTGTCCTGACAGTGCTACAACAACGATCCAACCACTACAGCCTATGTCTGTTACTACACATGGTACTGTAGTGACAGAAATGACCCCAACTAGCCAAATAATTCAAGTTTCTACTAATATTACGAATGGATCGTCTAGTGACATACCAACAGTGGCTACTGAACTTCCAGCCAAAGTAACTTACCTAGGTGATGCTAGTTTCACTATATCTAATATCGATACAAATACCAATCTACCGATGAATTCTCAAACAGTCACAATGGTCGTTGACATTGAAACACAACCTCACACAATGCCATTAGAATTATCAACTAATCAAGCAGAAACAACACTTCTTATCAACGAACAGGAACCAAAATCATCTAATGAAATAGAAGTGACCGATAAAAAACCAAATGAATCCTTAACGACTGAGAAAATTGTTGTAAGTACTATACCGATGACCTCTGACGATCCCATGACGGTGGCAGCTACAGTAACTCAAACGAACATAAATTACAAAAATGGTGCATTGAATTCACCAATCAAGAATATTATTGATGTAACAAATAATACTAAATTGCAAACTAGTCCTACAGACATTTTTACTACTACATGGTCACAGCATGAAAGTACAACCGATGGTTCATCCTACATGACTACTGCGGACGTACTTACAAGTGTTAATGATGAAATTGTTTCATCGAGTAACTCTTATGTTACTTATGCTAAAGACATTTCGGATATTACGATAATTGCATCAACGGAAATCCCATTAAAAACTACTGACAATAGCCAACTTAACGGACTGAACACCGCTATGGAAGATAAATACCTCTTTCTCGAAAACACCGTGGAAGGCATTATGACCACAACTAATGAATTAGAAATAAATACAGACGAAATAACCAAAAGTATGGACGTCAGAGGTACATCACAAATGTTTTCTTCAACAAAACCAATGTCTAACGACGATGGTACAACTATGGAGATTGAAACGAATACTGATCATAAAAAAATAACTGATCGAACAACGCCATACACAAATCCTGAATTAAATATCAATCAAGTAACAACAGTTAGTGAAAATTTAATATCCTCAACAGATGTTCCATCGACGAACGTAAGTTCAACCAATGCGACTGAAACCGAAATCATAAAAGAAGCAGAGTCCAATCAACATTATCAAATAGCTACTTTGGAAAAGAAGAGTGGGAGGTCTATAGAGTCTAATGATAATTTACCTACTTTTAATGTCGAGTTCGTAGTACGAAAAGAAGATATACGAAATAATTGCAATCAGACAAGAAAAAGGACCATTATCAAGCCGGATAGGATTTTGACGGAGTACCCAACAAATTCAGGCGTTTCAATTACTCTTAGAGGATCAAAGAAGCGTAGACGAAGACATTTGAATCAGTGTAATTTTAAAAGCTTAAAGCACACAATTTTTATTAAAGCTTTATTGTAATTTATAGCATATCAAGTAAAATACTACATAATTTAACTTTTTAGATCAAGGGTACAATACAAATCGCAATCAATGGTTCAATGGTTACAAGACTTACGGGCCTCCACTTGGCTGGATGGACAGGTCGTCCAATCCATTTGAGTCAATTAATTTGTTCAATTCTGGCTATCAACGTATTCCATTTTTTACGTATACAGCTGTATTACCTTTTGGATTTATTTTCGAGTTAAAGTCACAAGTTATCGAGATACCTTTAGATGTACGTATAAAATTATATTAATTATAAGTATTAGTTTAAAATGTTAAGTTCCGAGTATTATTTTTTATTATTATTATGAGATTTCTATAATACAATGGTATGATAGTCAAAAATACCCATTTAAATATATTTCATACATCTGTGTCCTGTAATAACAAAAAAAAAACAATAAATCTAGAATTTATGTGTGCTTACCAGCTTATGTATAATTAACCTAAGCCAACCTTTTTATTAACTGCTATTGCTGGGTCGAGGTTACATTTACCCATTGACACAATAATATTCTGTTGTCCTACATTTTGTATGGGAAAAATCGATTGTTGTGAGAATATATATAATTCACGAAGTGTTGAAGTTAAGACATTTGTAATTATATGTGGAGTTCATTGTTCATATATACTTTTGTCCATTCTAATTAATTTTGTAATTTCCTGTCACAATGATCGTTCATGCAATTAAGTGCAAGAAATAATAATTGTTATTATTAGGAGTTAAAACATACACGCAGTGGCGTTTACAGAAATGTTCAATAATTGGTGGGTAGGTTTATTAAGACACATATAATATATATGCTTTTACGCAACATCTTTGTAACTACCATTAATCAAACCCACCTTAAGGTACATGTTCAATAATGATTTAACTTTAATTTTTAATTTATGAGTAAATACTATTCCTACAATGATTTTAACATTTTTCTTATTTTTTTAGTAATTACATCACTTTAGTTTACCTTAAAATAAGTTAAATGTATGATATAATTATAATATTCTTTTTATGGTTAAATTAGGAAGAACGTTTTTGGGACGGAGTGTTTAATGTGTTTTTTGTTTTTAAGTTACCTATATTTTCTTATGTCTAACAAAATTATTAAGAAACAGAAGTCTTGAAAAAAAGATTTGAATTACAATGAATGGCTATGAATAAATATATTTATGCATACTTTTTTATGATAGGTATAAAAAGTGATGAAGGGAAACACTATAAAATATTCTCCCAGGTGGAATTTTTGAGTTCTAAATACTTCTGTATATAGCCGCATCGGTACCTATACTGTTTGAAATATTTATGTTTATTTGTTGTATAATATATATAAATAGGACCCAAAGTACACGTTGATGATACTTATGCCGAACCATCCGAATGGTCTGTCCGAGCTGCTGCTGCTGCTGCCGTCCATGTCTTTGCGCAACATACACAATTCTCTGAAACCGACAGCCGTTCACGCGACCGTGCCCACGTTCAAATACACTGCCAAAGTGGATTTGACTTCAGCTTTACAACAGGTGATTGACCGATGAGTTTGAGATCGTTTTGATAAAAAATAAATAAAACTTCTCGCTCTTAACGCAATTTGTGTATACCACATATATTATAATTTATGATATACATTCTTACATATAGGTATATAACTATATAAGGAATTCTTACAATAAATTGAGGTACCTATACGTTCATTACTCGGACAAGCAGACCGTGCAATTTATGGTGTTGAGAGCGTTGTCTTCCTTAGTTCCTAAATCGGCACAAGGTTCAAGGGCACAATACCAGGCGTCAAAGACCCACCTCGAAGACAGCAGCTTAATCATCGTTATTATTCCATTATTACTATATTATTACCCATTAGTTATTTATAAACCAGACTCCCGTGTGTACTTAATAAATAGTATATACTATGATTACAACTCGTATAGTCGTAAGTACCTACGTGTAAATGTAATACGCAGTGGAGGACCGTCAAGGTTAAAGAAATGGTAGGTACTCAGAAGCTTGGTGTTGATAAAAGAAGAGGGAGGTCACTCGGAAAATCCAAAAATGTGTATATAGATACAAAAAATATAGTTCATGTATGGGGGCGGGCCTGTACAATTGACAGCGACATTCTGTAGGATGTAAATGTCATTATAATATTATTACAAATATATAAATAATATCAAGCTATATAATATTATTAAATATTATGTATTAAAACCTTTAAAGTTTAAATCCATATTATGTATAATTAACTACCACATGTAAAATCAATTGAATTTTTAAATTCTAACATTGTATAGCCAATTCTTAAAACTTGCGAATCACCATAACATCCTTGTATAAAAGTTACATAAGTATAAACCCAAAATCTTTCGAATAATCCTCGTTGAAGATTTACAAGAAGACTGCAGCGCATTACGTATTGCACTCATAGTAACCCTTATTAAAATGTATTGTACATCTGTACAGCAGTAAACACTTGAAGTCTTACACTGCGTGTGCCTTATTATGACCTATATATAGCCATATAGGTACTATAAATTATAATTCAACGATTTCTTGTAGCCTTTTTTTCTGTCACTCAACTTAATAGTGAACTTATATTTATCTACCTCCATATTGTACTCTCATTGTATGTTTACTTAAATTGTAAATGTAAACAACTTATTGCTATACTGAACAATAATAATTGCAACGTTTTTCGATTCGCAGGTCGGCATCCATGACGTGTTCTACAGGTACAGGGCGGACCTTTCGTTCATGTCTCCGGACGCTCGGCTGTTTGTCAGTTCGGTTCAGCAAGTGGTGTCCGTGACGGTGAAAAAGTACAACACGCCACCGGGTAAGTGGTCAGGGCCGAGGTGCGCTAATTCCCGTTTATATATTTATAGTATATAATATAGTCATATAGAAAATAGTTTATTTTCACATGCAACCAACCAGGTAATTGTAGTATACAATAATATAGGCATATGCTTGATTGTATTATTTATATATTATGCGTTTAAAGAGACGTTTTCATTTACGAATGGACATTATTATATATCTTCCGTGTAGATAATGTTATAACACTTATAGATAATATTATATATATTTATATACCCGTAACACGCGTAGGAACGCAAACAGTGACCATGAAAAATCGTATTTATCCGCCACCCGTTTGAAATCGGATTCGCGGACGCGGGTCTCCACAGTGGTCGGTCGGAAATCACCAAAAAAACTCTCCACCGCAGCTAATCGCCGCTGTCCTTCGGCCAACGCTACGTATATTATGTTATATCTAACTAACAACTATCGGTCTATTGCTGTGTGTAGTACTATAATCTATACTATACACTGTTGACATAATATGTTATATTATACTACATAATATTTAGGTAGGTACTATATTATAGCCCCGTTGATGCGAGTCTAATGACTAATGAGTAATGGTAGGTAATACTTACTTATATGGGGCATGAAAACCAGACCTACAGCTTCAAATATTCTACTTACAAGTTACGATGTATCGCGATATTAGGTTTTGACTCTTTAGTATTTTTGGTGTATATATCTCAGCAAATAATTTACACATTTTCCTTGTCGGTCGCGACTTTTTTCGCTTTTTTCTATTCACGATTTTCCTGTTCTTGGTGGACACTCGTGTACCTATATATCTAATAGATATCATTTTTTAGAATGCTTTGAAAATATCTTTTGATCAGTAAAGGTTATGTAAACTTAAATAGTTAATTATAACTTATAAGCTACCACCCCGATTAATTATTGTATATATTTTGTTTTTACTATAACCACACGTGCAACTGTGCAAGTCTATCATTGCTTTTTATATGTCGGCATATCGCCTATTTTCTATAGCATCATGTCTATACGAATATACTTTTGGCGTCGATTCAAAAAATGAAATAATTTGTGCACATAAAAATATGATATTGTTATACGTATGCAATATTCAAATATTCAATAGAGGTAAATGCGTCGATTATTGAACGGCGTGCAGTTTTAGCTAGGTGTATAAATATATTATAAAGTAAATAGGCGCGTGTAAGTACGCTATTTTATGTCATAGCTTGTGGGCATAATATAATACGATTTACGTATACATAATATTAAATATATATATTTGCGTTGGACGCCGTGTCCATACATAATACATATACAAAATTGTCTTCTCGGTTGATCGGTAAACCGAAACGAAGTAAACACACATTGTCCTCATATGCGACATGCAATTAGTCTTGAGCAAGCAATCGATCGGATCGATTTTTTTCACAAAAAAACAGGGTTCAAACATTGTATTATGTACATACGTTATACCTACATATTACATTGCATCATTTTCGCAGTTTCGTGTACTTAAAGACTTTGTCCTTTACATAAGTTAAATGTTAAAATATAAATACATTTATATGTTTTACCTTACAGCTAATAATATATGTATTATGTAGATATAAGATATACTATGAATTAATAATGATATAGGTAGTTAGTATTTAGTATTTTAGTGGACTATAGTAGTCAGTGCCGCAACTAGGATTCTTGGGGCCCCGGACAAAGTCAATATATGGGGCCCCCCGGGGTCTATGTATATAATATTTTTTATAGGTTACTTATAAAAGTATAAATAATAATGGTGATTTTTTTTAAAAGCCTAAAAATATAATGTGAAGGCCCACTATACCCAGTGACCAGTGTATTATTATTAAAATATAATTTTACACACTTTTAGTGTTCTTTTTTTATTATAATTATTAATTAAAGCTTTTGTAATAATGTATGGTTCTAAAAAAAATATTGCATAGCAAAAAGATTGTTTGCACCTACATTATATTTAAACATTTAATTGTATAAAAAAAATCTTTACCAAATTTAAAATGATAAAAAATGTATCATAAACATGTACAAATAATAATAATTAATACGATATCAATTTATTATACTTATTACTTGATATAAGACATTAATTCAACAAATTTCATAATATATGGTATCTACTATAGGTACTTATTTATATAGAAAAAAATAATTACAAACAATATGGAATGCATTAGTATAACTTAGTTCAAGTCATTGTAAATGAGTCATAAATCATAATACTTATAATAATATGTGCTATAGAAATAGAATCATTCAAATTAAGCACGGAAATTCATTTTTCTTGCTTTTAAATTAGCAAAGTCATTTATAACTTTTTCTAAATTTAATTCTAATGTACGAATTTATTTGTTCTATATTAAGTATAAATATATGCCTATATTAGGTAGTCAAACGATCTGGTGCTATAGAATTTCTCAGAAAGTTCTTAATAAGTTTTAACTTAGAAAATGATCTTTCTGCAGAGGCAACTGTAACAGGTAATACTGAGAATAGCATGCAGGCTCCTNAATTGGTATTCGGGGGCATAATGAACAAGACCATAGTTTGTTAAATAACAGAGGGAATTTTATAGAATTATTGCATATGAGGGCCAAAGATAATGACATAATTAAACAATATTTTATTGACAAAGAAAGAAGATTTCGTTATATCCATCCAGAATTTCAAAACATTTTTTTATCGTTAATGGCTAAGAATGTTCAACAAAGTTTAATATCCAATATAAAAGAAGCAGGTATATACAGCATATTGGTTGATGAGACACAGGACATCAGCAGGCATGAACAAGTATCCATTTGTGTTAGGTATGTCACAGAAAGTTTTGAACCAACTGAAGTTTTTCTGGGTTTTTTTAAAACTCATAGAACCAATGCTGAATCTCTGGTAGCTTTGATAAAAGAAGTTTTAAAAAATAATGACTTGAACATTCAAAATATCAGAGGTCAGTGTTATGATGGTGCTGCTTCTATGCGTGGATCTTATACCGGTGTACAAGCTAGAATTAAAAATGAAAATCCACATGCAATATATGTACATTGCTATGCGCATATTTTAAATTTATGTTTAGTCGATTTAACTAAACAAGTTAAACAAATAAGAAATATGTTTGGTGTTTTGAATACATTACATAATTTTATTGGCGCGTCATCAAAAAGATTTTCCATTTTTGAATCAATGAGAGCAACATGTTCAGATAGTAAAGGACCAAAAACATTAAAATCATTATCTGATACTCGATGGAATTGCCGAATAGAAGCTATTAAAGCAGTGTTTGAAAATTTATCAGCGTTATTTCATTCACTACACAAAATTGCAGATGATGATACTTTTGCAGGTCCTGAAGCTAGTTCCTTACTTAAATCAATTGAAACCTTTGATTTTATTTTTTGTCTAAATTTACTAAAATTTGTTTTTAATGAAACTAATATTTTATCAAAATACCTTCAAACGCCATCAATTAATTATTCATCGGTGCGTTTGATGGCACAGCAAACAATTAACACATTTAAAGATAGTCGAACTCAAGATAAATTTAATAGTTTATGGATAGAAACCCAAGATATTGTTGAGAAGTATGACTTAGAAGAAGCAAAATTACCCAGAGAAAGAAAAATTCCTTTGAAAATAGGTGGAGGAAGGTCTCAACAAAATTCAATAAATGTAAAGGATTATTATTTAATAAATATTTTTTATGTTGTTTTAGATATAATTATAGCCGATATAGAAGAAAGATTTAAAGAAAATAACTTAACTCTTTTAAATGCTATGAATGATGTATTAACTAGTGATTTACCAGATGTTGCTTCATATAATCTATTAAGTAATACATATGATATTAATAATTCTGAATTACAGAGTGAAGTTAATATATTAAATAGAATGTTTAAACAGTCACAAAATGATATGAAAGAAACCGCACTTAACTGTCGAATATCTTATATTCTATCCAACAATATTCAAGTTGGATTCCCATTGTATGTGCAAATTTTAAAATTATTTTTAACATTACCTACAAATACAGCAACATGTGAAAGAAGTTTTTCTACTTTAAAACGTATAAAAACCTATCTCAGATCTACTACTGGCCAAGATCGCTTAAATAGCTTAGCAATACTCTATATACACAGAAACCAAGAAGTTGACAAGGATAAAGTTATAAAAGAATTTGATGCCACCGAAAATGGACGTCGCATGATTCTTCACTAAATTAAAAAAACAATTGAACTTGTATATAAAATTGTGTATTTTAAAAATTAAAAATTGATGAATTAAAATAAATAAATGTTTTAACTAAAAAATAATAAATAAATTCAATGTGGAGGGGTTGAGAGGTTGATAAAGCTAATTAGCCATCTATTATGGGTTTTCCAATGTTGCTACCCTATGGTTTTATTCCAAATGACGCCCCTGTTTCCAGTCTTCGGTCTCCATCAACATCATCAAAAATTTTTTTTGCAAATTGTGGTCGAGTTGCCTTATATTTGGTTGATATTCCCCATTTTAAACATAACAGTTTTGCATCGTCTACAACACTATCAAAATTTTCTCTTAATTTTTTAATCGATTATACCAATCGTATGCGTTCTCCAGTTGATCACGGGCTTTTTGTAAATCTGTATCTTTGTACTGCAAATTTTTTGATACTCCATGTAATGGAGGCAGTATTTTCTCCCATACACATAAAATTTAAAAAAAATCAAATGATTCAATTTTTTTCATTAAAGACATACTTTTTTTACATTTAAAATAGATGCGGGGTTCCGCCGTCGGGGCCCCCTGAGCCGACGATTAGTGGCCCTCTACAGGGGCATTGCCCCTGCTGCCCCTGCGGTTGTTGCGGCACTGATAGTAGTAAATAGTAATGTAGTTTAGGTATACCTACGTTGCCTGTAGTTATGCGTTGAGTCACCATATACATTATACATAAATACGTTTAGGTATATATATTATAACACATGCATTATAAATAGGTCATAGCCTATCATATATATATATATATATAGAATTTATATATTATATTATATATTTTATTTGGGCATTTGGTAGGTATATATATCTAGCTAAACACTTGATATCAGTAAATAATATAACTGATAATTTAATACTACGTATTATACCCATGTATTATTTTAGTAATTTAAGGTATGGAGTATAAGACTCTAAGTTCTAAGGAATTGTTTATTCAAAAATAAATTATTGATGCTTCGTATAAAATTAGTTGAAAAATCTGGTTTAGGGATGGGACAAGGGGACCCAGTCTCCTACCTTTGTAGACTGTGTTTAAAAGAAGCTGTATTTAACTACAAAGAAAAATATAATAAATGTTTGATCTATTAATATATTTATCTTATGAGTGTGTTTTATTTTAAAATTTTGCAATAATTTTGTACACTGAGGTAAATAAATAGCGAATTTCCAGTACTTTTCTTTATTAATAATTAATTATTGTGAAAAACAGGATTATTAACTAAACTATTAAAATGTTCAAGGGGTAATAATATTAGGTATACAACTATTGAACTATACTATGGACAATACTACGATTAGTTTCTTTTTTTTTTGAGGGGGGGGAGGGAAGACTCCTTTATTTTTGACAACGGATGGTAATATGGTTGACTGACGTAGGTGTTGATAAAGTTGCCTTTAACATGTATTAAACGATTGTTGTTGAAGTGCATGACTTTTAGGCATTAGTTGTATTTAAATTTAGATATTGCCGCGGCGGGTGTTAGAGATTCGGCTCGTCGACAGATTTGTCCCACAACAATCACTAGTTCCTAACAAAATATTTTTCGCATACGTTTATACATAAGAAAAAGCAACAATTCGACAAGCAAAAAACGTCCTTAGAGACAATTATGCACGATAGGGTAGATGATTAAACAATAATTTAAGTATTGAACATTGCTACATCAAAATATGTACGATACACCAATAATGCGGAAGGTAATCCGATAGTTTTTTTTTTTTGATTTAAGGCTAACGTTAAAACACCGTGAAAAATATCAATTTCTTAGGTTTTTTCGGTAGCATCGTTCCCCTCCTCTCTGAACATCAAGACCGTATACTGTCATATAGGTATACCGAACACATGGTGAACATCCATTACAATTTCAGGAGAAATGAAACATTTCAATTCTTATGTAAAACTGTCTGCAGTTCATATAACGTTTTTAAAAAAATTTCGTTTAGTTCAAGGCAGATCGACAATTTAAATTGATCTAATTGCATCAGTCTTATTCAAACAACATCACTATTGTGCTTCAGCAAGTTCAAATTATGGGCTGCCAATAATTTTTGATAGATGTTTTATAATATTGAAGGTTGAGTGTTGGAACGATATTGACCTATAACGTTCTCAGCCATGCTTATCCACCATCATGTTCAAACGAATAAAAATTGTTGGGGGAATCAAACTCTCAAGAATCCTCGTCTCTTAATTCAGAGATACAGGTCCACTGTCTACACACAGTAGATAGTGTTGTTTAGTTATTATAACTTGCATAGTACTATCTACACAACCATACCTTTGGGAGGTTTGAAGTGGACCCCCTTGATAATTCCAAATAATATGGAAATATCTCCAATTGTAATTATTGGTTAATTACATATATTTACTCTGAAAACCAATTTTGAAAGATAAATTCCAAACACGAATGTTGGTACTCACAAAATATGACAATAAATACATAGAATCAGAATTATGAATTAATTATGGGACCTTGTCGAATGCTTATTTCATGTCAATAATTATTTGTTTTCTATATTTTTCAGTTTATGAAATCCAACGCAAATATGTAGAACAAGAATTTGTTGTGTCAAAACCATTTATATATTTCGTGATGGACATACATACCAAAGTCAGTCTTATAGCTGGAGTAATTACCGATCCATTAGCATCACCAATTTGGGTTTGATGTTAGAATGTATATTGTGCATCTTGCATTAATGTCTTTTCATAAATTAAGGTTAATAAACGAGAGCATTGTCTTAGTACTGATATGTAAAAATAAAACATGTAAAAACTAGTTGTCAAATAACATTTGGTATTTAATAATGTCAGAACAACATGAACATTACAAAATAACATTTATTTATTTGCCTTTCTTGGCCTTGATCTTCCTGTGGTAAAATTCCAATTCTTTGCCTTCTAGGATGTAACCATCAGCACGTCCGCATTGACCAGGTCTGCTTCCCAAGCATGCTACACAAATAATACAAAAATTAATTTTAATGCCATATTTAGAGTTTAATACATAGGCGCATCTAGAATTTATTTATGGATGTGGCCAATAAAATTGTCATGGTCGATAACTTACAGTCAGCCCATTTAAAAAAAAAACATAAAATAACTCAAAATATCTAATTTGTCAACGCTACATTATTATACGTGTTAACATTTAATCAAATTCACGCAAATAGAGATTTTGCAGGTATGGCCACCTGTAAACATATGTCCATGACAAAATAAAATTTAGGGATTTTAAACATTTTACAAAACTGCTTAAAAACACAAAAACAATATTCAGAAAAAAATGATTCACATTTCATATAAAAATCATATTAACGAGATTTCTTAAACATCATAATATTGCAGTGTGATTATAAACAATTATTGTTTAATGTGAATGTATTGTACATAAATATAGTTCAGGGTAACTATGAAAACATCATAAGACAGGAAATGTTACCATATCTTAAACTTACAATTTGTCATCATAATATTTATGTAAAGTACTTATTGTAAATATTATAGAAAAACGCTCAGTGTAACTATGACAAAAAATGTTCATATTATTGACTGATATTAATCAAAACGATTAATATCAAAAATTCCAATATCACCATTATTAACTAAAAAATCATCATGGCGTTAGTTTTTTCTATAATACATAATTAGTAATTTGATAGCACTTACCTAATAAACGAGAGGTTTGGAACTGTTCATCAATTGCAGGTTCAACTTTGGCAAAACGTTGCCTTTTCTTGTATTTAACTTCAGCCTTTGTTGATCGCTTCTTATTTAATACAGCATCTTCAGCTTCGGTCTTTAAACAATTTAACAAATACACAATTAAGATTTAATATAATATAATATTATAATGGTATAAGAAGTTATAAATATTAACTTATTAATAATGATAAATTGAGTAATAAGCTGAATGAACGTACAGCTATAACTAATGATGTAAAATATGATATAATAAACTATATAAACAAATTTAAAAGTATTTATTCTAGAAAAAAACTTATTTTTAGGTATCAGGGACTCGGGCAATTTGTATCTCTCTAGTTCTCTTTCTTAACTTAACATCAGAGCGCTGCGGAATAATATATGTCCTCATGACTATATCAGGAACCGAAATATTACTCATCATTTGAATAAATTACATGTTATATTATGCACAAATATAGCAGAAATCATTGAAATCTTTGTAGTTACAAATTTGGAATAGTCAATTCACATTTCTGCTTTCAGCTAGGACACGGTCATCAACTATCAGACGGCAATTCCTATCAGAAAGGTTCATCATAGCAGATTCTTTTTTTCCTAACGAAACATCAAAGAGCTGCGAAATGAGTTATTCCTCATATGGTATCAGTAACCAAAATACTACTCATAACTAGAAAAAATTTACTGCTATATATTTTACACAAATATAGTAGAAATCATTTAATTCCTAAAAGTAACAAATTTGGAATAGTAAATTCACATTTCTGCTCTCAGTTAGTACACGGTCATCAATTATCAGACGGCAATTCCTATCAGAAAGGTTCATCATAGCAGATTCTTTTAAATCTTCAAACTAATATCAGAGCGCTGCGGAATAATATATGTCCTCATGACTATATCAGGAACCGAAATATTACTCATCATGAATTAAAAAATGTTATCTCATATAATACGCATGTACAAGAAATTATTTAATGCCTAAAGAAGCTTTTTGTATGTGATATTCATATTTCTGCTCTCAGCTAGTACACGGTCATCAATTATCAGACGGCAATTCCTATCAGAAAGGTTCATCATAGCAGATTTATTTTTTCAAACTTAACATCAGAGCGCTGCGGAATAAAAAATGTCATCATAAGAAAACATCAGGAACCGATAAATTACTCATCATTTGAATTAAATATTTTATAAACATTGAAATGAAACTATGCTCTCAGATAGTACACGGTCATCAGTTTATCAGACGGCAATTCCTATCAATAATGAAGGTTCATCATAGAGCAAAACAAACTATAAATTTTCAACTATTATAATATAATATGAGAGTTAACATTTTTGCTAAAGCAATACATTTCATATTAAGTAAATACATACCAATTTTGTTGTCTTCCTTCTTCCAATAGGCAAAGCGTAATGGCCTTCATACCACTGACGGAATGGTGTCGCATCGATGACTACAATAGCGTTCTTCACCAAAGTTTTGGTTCTGACCAACTCATTGTTTGATGCATTGTAGATAACATCAATGATACGAGTTTTAGCAGAAATACCTAAAGCAAATGAGGGTTTAATACATTTTGAAAAATGTATACAATTTAATTTTATAGTTGTAACATACCTTCAGAACCCCATGAAAAATTTCCTTGGTCTAACCTTAATGCTCTGTATTTCTTGTTACCTCCTCTGGTACGAACAATGTGTACACGGCGAGCTCCAAGCTAAAAATGTTTAAGAGTAATATAATAAAATTGATTTATAATATTAATACTATTCAACTAAGTCATAGCTAATAAAATATACTGAGCTATATTAATAAGCAGATCTTCTGCTATTATTTAATTGTATAGTTGATTTATTTATTAGGTATCAAAATGATGACATATTACTAAATATGTATGTTTAAGTTATGTTTCCAATATTAATATTTAACAAAAAAAAAAAAATTGTCAAGGCAAAAATATTCAGTCTATTTCAGGATATTAATAAGCGGATAGATTAAATTAATCATTAATTCTTCAGTATAACTAATCTCATCATAAATAGACACTACAATTCAGAAGTTATAACAAGAAAATATTTTAAAATATCTTAAATAATATTGGTTTGAAAGAACTTGGTGTTTATTTCATTAACAGTATAAAATTATCATTAATAGATCTGGAATCAAGTGCGTATCAGAACGTTAGAGGTGAAAAATAATAAATATCTTCATTAATATTCAGATATAAGTCTCATCATAAACACTCCAGTCTTTAAATCATAGGCATGAACAATTACTGGATAAAATATTCCCAACTAGTAAAAACTAAATACATATATAGATATATAGTCTATTTCAGGATATTAATAAGCGGATAGATTGAATAAATCATTAGTTCTTCATACTAACAAATATCATCATAAATAGACAGAAATCAATTTTAGTGGCAGCTTAATAAAATTATTATTTAAAATAAAATAAAATGTATGGAATTCTTTTAAATTAATATATTACAAAAATTCAGAACGTTAGAGGTGAAAATAATAAATAATATCTTCATTAATATTCGGATACAAGTCTCATCATAATATTTACTCCTGTTATTATAGTCACATAGAATTGCTATACCAATAATTCCTATCAATTAACAAACAAAAACCAAATATCCATGAGCATAGATCAAAAAATTCAGCAAATCAGAACGTTAGAGGTGAAAAATAATAAATATATCTTCAAAAATATTCAGACAAAAGTCTCATCATAAACGCTAGAATTTATTTCTACTTATACTATAGAACAAAAATATATCAAGGTTTATAGTATAATAACAATAATATTTAAGTACATCGAACATAGATTAAATAAAGCATATCAGAACGTTAGAGGTGAAAAATAAATAATGAATATCGTCATAAACATTCAGTCGTGCGTCTCATCATCAATGCAATTAATGTATGTATCGAAATGGAATATTTTCAACGTGACATATGATTGATTTACCGTCAGCAAATCGAAATACTATAAGTATCAGATGCTTGCAGAACACATATTTAATATTTAGCACAAATGTCATACCTTGGTGTTGGCGGCCGGACGACCTAACTCATACTTCCTCTTCTTGCGGAGGGGCTTGCGCTTGCCTCCGGTCTTCCTGCGTTTGTGCCATGTATCACGGGATATACCTTAAACGAAAAACGTTGTCGTTATTAGGCTGCACGAGTACCCAACAGGTAACTGCAAGTAATATTTTGGATAAATGTAATTATGTGCGCGAGACGCCGGGAACCCGATCAAAAACGACAAAAAACGGTTGCCGTCGACGATACATTAATCGAATAAGAGTAGTTTATAAGCGTAGATAAAATAATTAAACGGATGTAAACGGATAAAATTTACTTACCCATCTTGTGTCTCTGACGTTAGTGTAACACGACGGGAAAAACGAAAAGAATGGCTCGGTCGACTTACAGAATGTAAACAAACTGCACGACGACTGAAAGGAATACAGACATACAGGTTATGTCTGACCACGGTATAAGTGGGAGGGGCGAAATGTTTAACCGAGTGTTACCATTACGGTTTTTGACAGTGAATTCGGGAACCGTTCATTGGTAAAATTGAAAATATGCGATTTATTTATTATCGTTGATGATCGTAGCATAATTTTCTTTAAATTCACAAAATTTTTTTAAAATAAATTGCAATTTTTCCAAATTTGTTTATTTTGTTAACCACTTGTCCCCTGGAAATTAAACGAAATCTGTAAATCGCCGATATTTGAGGTTAACACACGACGTTCATGTGAAATTGCCGAGATCGTTTCGTACTTCATACACCAGGTTCTGAAATGGAATAGATCATACGAAATATATATATATCTATGGAAAACACAATTCACAGTGGCACGATGTGTACCATAAATCATAATGGCATAATATGCTGATATGCCATATACTTTATAGATATAATAAGTATTGTAAGAGTACTGCGATAGTGCAATAATTATTATTGTTTGTGCAAGTCCAAATAATTACTGAGCTGTACTTACGCACTTTGACGGTCTGCACTCTGCCGATTTCCTTTGCACGTTGTGTAGAAATTACTAATTAGAAATCTTGTCAGTTGCGACTGGCTATCCCGATTCCCTGTCCGTAGTCGTGAATGATTTTGGAAAATTTGGCGATTCTTAACTACCGTACAGATATATAATTATATGTGTTGATTTAAAATGCCTGTAAGTACTTATACTGAAATACAAATGTTTAAGTTATTTTAATGTAATTGAATTTCGTTGAGTTGATTTACGTAATTAGCAGTTAATCCGCATACAAACTTCAGATATGTTCCACAAATATTGAGATATTGTTGAAATAGAAAAAGATAGAATTTATTTAGCAATACATAGTACTTTTTATTTTATTCGGTTTAAGATTAACAGTTTGGAAAACGCCGTGATATTGAACTCTTGCAGTGTCTATTAATGGTTACTCAATACTTCAAACTAGTTAAAACATAGCATATACACACTTATATCATACTTTTAATGCTAACAATTGGCTCCAATTCATCACATCAATTTGTACCTAATTTGTACATATTTGCTCGTAACTGTTTAATTTTAACATAAGTTAGTCAATAGTCATAGATAGATCACTTGGGTAGTTGTATTAATATGTTTCCTTTATTTTTAAAACACTAATTCAATGTCCTTGATAAGCTACATACTAAGCAATAAGTCTATAACCTTACACACGAATCATAGGCAAACTTCATCGGCTTGGTATGTAATAAAAAAAGTGGACCCCTGTGAAGAAAGTGAGCTAGCAAAATCACAGTTTATATTTTAATGTATCTATTTTCTTGTAAATTTGTATAAAAAAAAACCCCTTCATTAGCTATAATGTTCAAGGCATCGTTTTACTCATATATAAAGATTTTGAACTAATTTAACTTGTATGTACCTTATTTAATATCTATTTCCTAGTAAAAATTTTGAAAACATAATTTCAAATTTCTTAATTATGAGGTATTTAAGGAAAAAAATATAACTTAATTAACATTCTATGATTCTATTTTATCTAAAAAGATTGTAAGACAATTTTTTATTTAGTTAGCAAAAAGTATACTTCATCCATCTGCTGTAGAAGATTTACGTAGCCACAAATTGAAGCGGCTTGTACCTCGTCCAAATTCATATTTTATGGATATCAAGTGCCCAGGTAATATGATTTAATTTAATTTATGTTACACTTAAATGAAAATTCTTTTTTTTTTATAATTATATTTGTAGGTTGTTACAAGATTAAAACCGTTTTTAGCCATGTTCAAGAAAGAGTGAGATGTGACGGTTGTCTAATAGTACTTTGCAGACCAACTGGAGGCAAAGGAAAATTGTCTGATGGTAATAAAATAAAGTTGATCAAGTTAACAATTTAAAAAAAATTTAATCTATTAATTACTTTTATTTTTTCCCTGTGTCTATAGTGCCTGACTATAGTTGGTAAAATAATATAATATGTATGCCCAACCATAGTCGGTAAAATAAAGTATGTCTCGACCAGTATCAACATACATACACAAATTTACCGAAGACAGTTTTATAGTATTTTGGCATGTACTATAATATAGTCTTAGATCATTTTATACTTGTATAGTGTATTACATATTTGATAACAACTATGTAATTAAAAAATTTAAAAAAACTATTCCATTGTATACAGGGCCGTATTACCGCTTAGGCTGTGTAGGCTAAAGCCTAGGGTGGCAAATTTTTTTTGGTGTGACCCAAAAACTAAATTGAGATATTAGTAGAATATCAATACCTATGTAAATTAGGAGGTAAATTTATTTCAGCCTATGGGCGACAAAAACCTTAATCCGGCCCTGATTGTATAATCAATTGTGAGTACAACTTTTGATGTTTAAAATGTAGACTAAAAATTTTTTTTTTTTAAACTGCAGGGGAATTTCGTATTAAATTTTCATGCTTTTTGGCCAAGATAAACAATTTTTGCCAACATAATACCAATTATATTTGCTAAAACCTTAAAAATTTTAATATATAAGTAATAGTGAAATATTTAAGTTTCTACATTTTTTACTTACTGGGTAATTACCGAAATCAACTGAGAAAAATTATCGCTTGTACATACAATTTCCTACAATTGTGTTAAATAAAACAAATGCTTACAGTTTTTTAAAAGTGAATTCCAAATTAATGCTTAAAATATCATCAGTGAATGTAGTTATCTGATCATTACCTAGGTTGCTACCACAATATATCCAATACTTCAAATTTTAAGATATTCAATAAATTCATCTTGGGTTTAGATTATTTAAATGTGGTTAATAATGGTTAGTGAAATTGTTTTACCTAAACAATAGTATTTAATATAGTAAATAAGAAAGAATTTTGAAAACGGACCACATGGAATATGGTGACACTGTAATTTTATTGTACCTTATATTCTTAACAATGATTTATTATAGTATAATAAATAAAGTAACCTATAAGAAGTATCTAAACATTTTGGTCAAAATTGTTTTTTTCAGCAAATAGTTGAAAATGTAAAACATAGTTTTAAAAAAAATGTAATTATTAATTATTTAGTATTTATTAAGTAATACTATAATAAACTATACTAGAATTATATGATTTAACATTTTATAGTATTTGCCAAAATAATAAATATTTGTATTCTGTTAATTTGTAGTGTATGTAAATTGTTGACACTGGTTAGTCATTACGTTATTTTACTGACTAAAGTCAGGTATATGTTATCTCATGGTCGGGTGTCTAGAAGCAGTGTTATTTTAAGACAATATTTGAGCAATGTTTGTTTTCTCTCTGATACTTTACCTTTCAAACGCGTTTAATCAGTATTTTTTTTTTATGATATTTCCAATTTTTGGAATACATAACTATTTTTAAATTGTAATATTTTTACATGCTCAGCTTGTAAAGTTTTAAATATTGTAATAATTCAATGAACAAACACAGATAATATTCTTAACTCTAAGTTTGACAATAGCTTAATTCATTTAATATGAAAGCAAACGATTCTTGATTCTGCCGAACGCAAATTTGTTTGGTAGATTTACATCGACCCCAGAGAAAAAATAATGTGCTGAGTCCTGATATCCTCTTAAATATAAATCATGATTAATGAACCTTTATATTATTTTTCAGGATGTTCATATCGAAAGAAACACTAAGGAACTATTTGTTTTAAATTCAAAATTAATATTAAAATGATTGATATTTTCATAATAAAAATTATATTTTATTAACATTGTTTTGTGTGCTTTTTATTGTAGCTAATTTTGTAACAAAATCAGGCCTGGATTTTACTGGAAAGCTACCTAGATAATCTTGACGGGCTGCTTTAAATCTGAGCCTGTAGAAAAAGTCTGACTTATTAATTATTATAATATAAATAATATTCATTATGAGTTTTGTACCTATTTAGGGTATTTTTTTGGCTATCGGTACTTCCTATTATAATATAAGAATTTTTAATAATATTTTAGTTATTTATTATTTTTTGAATAATACATAACACCTATTTATAATTAAATAAACTAAATTAAAATAATATCTTAACTCGTGGTCCAGTCCCAGTCAATAGTCAGTCATATAATTTGAGTTTAGTTTATCAATCATCATAATTATTGATTACCCATTAAATTAGGTAATAAATACTTAACGTGAATGATGATAATCAATAATGATGATTTCGGGTAAAACCAAAGAACCTATTTTCCAACCTATTATAATGTGTAAAAAAATATATATAAAAAAAAAAAATTATTGACTCAGTCGAAATGTCTCTGTCCGGGTTGGAAACGTCCATATACCATAGAGGCATCGAGAATATACACCTATTATTTATTAGTACATTTCAAATAAAATTGTTTGATAAAATATTATGTAGTATAATCGTAATTTTAAATTTAGTTATACACAATTCATGGTAAAAATAATTAGCAACACATTATTTTTCAACTATAATATTGTGAAATTCATATTTTTTAACACTATGAGAATGGTTGGCAGATGAATGGGCAATTAAAACAATATCACGTATACTGTTTACTAAGGATTTTCTTAGAATATTATAGTTTTAAATGACACCATATTGTATTGAACTTTTTTACCTTAAATAATACCTATTATTGTTGAAAAATAATGTATTATTATTTTTATTATAATTTGTTTTTTTTTTTTTAAATTTAAGCTTCTGCAACTGAGACCATTAGCTGTATAGGTTGTGGTACTGTAGGGTTATGGAACACGTGTGTGTTTGTTTTGGCAGAATTTCTAATGGGCACCCGTAGGTTTCTGCCATGCCCGGTTGGGGGATTATAATTTGTGTATTATTAAAATATGTTAAATAATGGCGACCATATTAAGTGTATAAAATTATTTAATTGGAATTAATAATTATTAGGTACGACTAAATATAAAATAATACTCCCCCATTGTCCTATAGTCCTGTGTTTAGTATTGTAATATTGCATATACATTATTTACTTATGTATATAAGTATATTGTAATCTTAGTCCTTAGATCATATGCTAGTATATATATATTTTGTATATTGTGATCTAAAATTAAAATGAAAATAATTGCATAAAAGGGGCCTATATAGGCAATTTTATATACGAATTTGAAAAATTCTTTCTGCGATGTATATATCTTAGTCCGTGGACGATCTACAAGGTTTATAGATAATAGTATATACTATTATCTATAAACCTTGGACGATCTATTCGTAAATCGTGGTTTCTCTGTTGATTATGTTATCTCGGGCTTGATAATAATATTGATAATTTGCAATAATAGATTAAAACAAATTAAAAAATGGATTTTCGTTCCACTTGCAGTAATTATTTTTTATTTTTAAAAACTATGATATAAATGATTTAATCTTAAAATATTCCTACAAACGCATTTATTCATTTTATTCATCGGGAATGAAGCGACGAAGAATGTCTGCTGAGTGTGAAATGGATCATTCATATGCCATGCCTAATGTTGTGAGTTACCTATATCATAATAATTATAAACTGTCAGTATATTGTGATTTTTAAAACTATATATATTCCCATTTAGAATGATAATTCAAACGCTCTATTGAAAAAGATTCAAAATGTCTATGCCAACAAACTATTAAATGATATTACCCTCGTTGTGGGTGGAATATCGTATCCTGCTCACCGCTTCATGTTATGTATTTCCAGCGATGTGTTTGAGGTGATTTTCAATGCAAAATTTATTTAAATGTTCTGTAGAATTCGAAATATTTATGACTTTAACATGACAGACCATGTTAATGAACTCAACATGGAGTGACTCGCATCAAGAAGTCATTGAGCTACAAGAAGTTCCACAGTGTATCGAAATATTTCCAGTATTTCTTCAATATTTTTATACAGGTGTAATAACGCTGGAACAGTCTAATATTATGCCAATGCTAGTGTTGGCTGACAAGTATAATGTCAAGGTATACAGAAGAGTACATAAATCAATTTTGGGTACTTATTGGTTATCGCGACTACCGTTAAAATTATAAAACAAACTATTATAAAAATGGAAAAACTGTAATTGTAAAAACTAGAAATAATTAATAATTCACTCTAGGAGGAAAATGCTCAGACATACAATTTAAAATTCCTATAAATAGACTTTCATGCTTTTGACGCCACATGAATTCAACCAAATAACTATCCAAATGTTGACGAGCAAGTGCCTCTATGTTTTTTGTTGTGCCATTTAGAGGATCCCCCATAACCTTTCGATATTCTATGTGTGAGCACCAGTTTGAGGATACACAAAATTATAAGTGTGGTTAACGGTTAAATGCTGAAACCCAGCATTCTGCAGTTCATTTGTTTTATAACCACACCAACAATCAGAATAAATAGTTGTTCCTTGGTTTATATTATCTTTTATTGCTTGTATCAGTGTAGACACAGACCGATCTTTGACTTCAACTAAAAAACATTCCGTCGTTTCCCGACAAATGCCTCTAAAAATCCATTGTTGAGGTAAAACTACTAGCATTATTTTTAAATCTTGTAAAAAGACTTTCGTCGATTTCTACTATTTTTCCTGGACCACCAATTTTCACGTTACGACTTTAAGACTTAAAACACATATTTTTCGCATAAAATTATTCCAGTCCACAGTAGTATCATAACACATATTTAACTGTGTTTGACAACATTTTAAAGAAGTCATTTCACTTCACAGCAATGCTAATAATAACCACCATTCAATACGTCTCGCTAGGTAGTCGTGATAACCGATAAGTACCCAATTTTGCATAGAAAAAAAATTACAAAAATTAAACATATTTTAGGATCTTACAGCTCTATGCGTTGAATACATGTGTGAACATATAGCTGATGCTGGTGACCAGGGTCAATTAGTAACTTGGTTTCAATATGTGTTGTCATTAAACCAACCAACTACCATTAATGTAAATATTACTTTGTTTTTCTGATTTTATTCTTAAAAACTATTTTTTTAGTTGTTGCATTTTTTATATATTGTTCATTTTACATTGAGAATATTTAGATAAGAATTTCTGATCATCTTTTAATTTTACGTTATTATTGTTTCATGTTTGAATAAAATATGTTTCAATTATAATTTATGATTTACAAACTTTAATTAATTACATTAAGTATAATTTATGAAAATTTGTTTCAGGCTTTATATTATTGTAAAATTTGGCAAGATACTGAGTGTATGGACATTAAGCCACCATGGAATAAATTACTTAAAGTGAGATTTTAATTTTTATGGACAAATAATTTGTACTTTATATTATTAAATATAGAATAATAATACTAATACAAACTAAACAATTAGGCTTGCAGAAATTATATAAAATGGAACATTGATTCTTGTATCAAATGTTTCAATACATTTCAATGTGATATTCTTGTTGGGCTATTGAAACAGTCTGATCTTGTGGTACATGATGAAATGCAGTTGTTTGGGTACATTTTAAAATTTAATTTTAATATTATTAATGGTGCAATTAGTAGAGCCCTACCATAATATTATCAACCAAATGTGAACTACGAGAACTTTGTCCTGCAACACTTTTTGTCATATTATATACATTAGACATTATACATATAAGTTATAACTAATTGATAAGTGATCTCCTGTTAACGGTATCATGTATCATCTGAATAATATTTGCGATGTGAGAGATACGATTAGAAGTTTTTTCTAAATTCTAAAATTAGCTGTAGGTACCTTCTACCTGTTACTTACTTAAAAGTAAACAACATAAATTCAAATTTATAAAAATATGTTTTATGTTTTAAATTTGTATTAATGTTGTCCAAAAAAAAAAAAAATGGTGGAAAAACTTAGCCCTGTAGCATCCTCAACCACTAATTGCGCCACTGAATAATACTTGTTGATGAATCCTAAAATATATTATAATATATAAATGTGTCATAGATGTGTTGCATCATGGTTAAACTACCAGTCTGCTGAAAAACTACTCGAATGCAATGATTCAGATACAATTGAAGATTACATGAGGAGCTTAACAGAACATGTCATGTCATTCATTAGATACCCAATGATTCTTCCTAGACAGATGGCCCAATTGTTAATGGTACCTATTGTCAAACAGAATAAAGACTTTTTCGTTAATAAAATGGCTGCAGCCATGGAGTACAATTTGGTGAAAATGGGTATGTTTTTAACAATTAGTAAGTTATATTTTAGCGCATTATTTTGATTACCTTATTTTTTTTATAAGAAAAACGGCCAGATACTGAACATAGCTTAGAATGTACGCCAAGATTGTACACTTGTGAAAGGTGGGGAAATTCTTTTAGAGTACGCACCAAAACTATTCCAAACTACCAATCTATAAAGCGAGATATTGTGACCCGTAACAGTCTTTTTGACCGAGATCGAGAGTTTAACGAAGAAGCTAAATGGGTCGGTACAATTACAATTACAATCAATAATTATTACTAATTAAAATTCTTTTTTTTATAACAGGAAATAGAAATGTTTTTGAAAGGTATGTGTTTTGGCAAGGCAATGTTGATGTCTTGGCGTGGTTCGATAGAATTGCCCGAAGTCATAATCAAAACTGTGCGTGCAACAATTAAAATGAAATTACGATCGGAAGATATTGAAGATGTTTCTCGTCATGTTCGTGTTGCCATTCTGGTGTATGCTGTTCAGAATAAAATTCTTCATGTTGTGACTGTTGTACAAAAAGTTGTATTGTTTGACATTGATCAAACTCTGATAACTATTGATGATTTGATGGTGTACGATGCAGTTAATCAACCGACAATTAATGAAGACTTACTTCGCATTAATGATACGAATGTCTCATACTTTACGTCAGACAGGATTCCATTAAAGTTCCATGTTATAATTACTCCTGTTGTACCTGGTCTGACTGATACTCACATTGGAACTAGAATACAACATGTACACATTTAACAGGTTTCAAGTCAAAGAAATTGTATTTTTTTGTTTTTGTGTTAAATGTTTCTGTGATAATGTTCTTTACCCAATGTTGGTAAATATATATGTTTATGTAAATAATTCTATCTTGCTTTTAAAACTATTAAGAGCTATGATAATTAACTGATTGAAAAATAAAAATTCTTTAATTCAGACAGTTAGATTATTGATTTGTTAACTATTGTGTAAATTTTTAGTACTAGATCTGCATTATCTTTAACTGATTAAAGTAAAATATACATTTTTAGAAAAATCCTTTTAAATAATTAAGACCAGTATTATAAAAAAATTCACTAAATACTGTAACTACTCAAGTACTCTAGTAATTTTAAGTGTTTGGTAATTATACAGTCAAAGGTCAACGATACTTTTTAAATTAATTCAATCATCACTTATAAGTTGTATGGTTTTTACATTCCTATGATATATTTACAGTGTTTATTCATCATATTCAAATTCATATTTTACAAATGACACAATATTAAAGGAACTTTGCTCACTTTTATAACTTATGACCTACTTAGGAATTTTTATTTCATTTGAGTGTTTTAATTTGGCATTGATTTTAATACCTGGGGTACCCCAGTGATACGGAATAGGGTAAAGAAGGAATTCTATTTTATATGTTATTTTACTATTATATTTATGAGAAACTATTTTTCTTTTAAATTTAATACCTTACTTAAAGATGTACTTCTAGATTAAATAATAATTAAAACGAATGACCAATTAATTGTTTCTTTTTTTAAAATTTCATTCTTTTTATATTAATCTGAACATGTTTCTTTATAAAAAAAAAATGGATTTGAACCACGAACAACTTCATTTTTTGTGAACAAATTAAATTTTTATGTGAACTTTTGGAACATTGCATATTTATAGCTATTTTTCGTCATTTACCTTGAATTCTGAATAATATGATAAGCGTTTCATAACTCTCAGATTCACACAATATTACAATGCATGTTATCCACCTTGGATTTTATTATAAATTTTATAATAGGAGAATCAGTATTTGTTTGGTATTCATATTGGTTTTACTTTCAATTAAATCATTAACACTAGAACAGGTCAATGTAATGAACTTTAAACAAAAGATTAATATTAAACATAATTTCAATAAACGGTAAAAATGCTATCATCTAGTTTTGTTGTATTATACCAGTATATTAATTTGTACAACTTAACATAATAATTATGAATAACATTTTGCTTACACAGTACCAATTATTTTAGATTTTTTTTTTGTATGGTAGTTATGATAATTTATTATAGCGAATAATGGACAACGTATATTTACATATAAAACAAAATCCATCACGAGTATAATCCTTATAGTATGTCTGAACACTTATGTATAAAATATAATGCATAAGTCCAAAGGAGTATTAATCCATATTAATATAATATTATGTAAACAAAAACCTAATCAGTAATCATGTATTTCACAGACTCACAGTACAAGAATTGTACATTTATTACAATATGCGTAATTATTTGTTAATTTATTTATCCAAGCTATGATAATAGTATATACTAGAGTCTATTAATCAGAGATTCTCAAACTTTTTTTTGTGCAAAACTCATGCCAAGAGTCTCATGGATTATGGATCTGTTATGTACAACTAATCACTAGAACTATTCAAAATTTCAATACTCTATAACAATAAGTGTATAAAATAATAATTTAGGTGTATTTAGTAACTATTTATACAAAATATAAGATAGTATTAGATCCTTTGAAATTAAAAATAATAATATTTACATGGCGTTCCATATACTAAGTCTACAATATTAAAATTTAAAAACAACTAACTAAAATATAATAAATTTATATTGAGACTTTTTTTGACTTCTGATCACATTAAAAAGTATAAACCTTTGTTTCAGAAAAAAATATCGTGAAGGTTAATTATGGGCATAATATGTATATAAAACATTTACCACACTAGTATAAGTTTAAAGTGTGTACAGTACTCCCTCGTTAACACGAACTCGGTTAACACAAATTATTGGATAACGCGAACCAGTCTTTCGGTCCCGAGAAAGGCTCTATACTAAAAGATAGGGTTTTTTTATTTCCTCGGTTAATACGAATTGTTTCAGTTAACACGAAACTCGAACAAATGTTAGGTACCATATTGTCGTTTAGTTGTTTAACACAAATAGAAAAATGTCAATATGTACATATGTATCTATTTATTATACAAATGGATTATGATCTCGGGGTCTGCGATGAAAATGCTAGAGAAGATGGAAAAGATAAAAACCCCGAAATCTCAGATCAAGAAATTGAACCTACTGAACCTCCAGTGGATAAACGCTCTCGGGCTGATGTGTTGGCAGCCTTTGATACCCTCGTCAAATTTTCCCAAACCAGTGCAGAGTTAGATTGCAAATTTGATGACCAGTTGAACAGCAGCAGAAAACAGTGCCTAGAAAACTATGAAGTTACATTCACCCAGAAACATATCACTTACTTTTTTAAAACGACGTGGCGAAGTGAGTTTTAAATTAATTTATGTTTGAAAAAATGTATTAAAAATATTTCTTTATATGTAATGTAACGTAGTAATTAATTAATTAAAAATATTTGTTTATATGTAGTATGTATGTACCAAAGTAATGTACATTTATATTTTGAAGATTACATTAATAAAAAAAATTTATTTGAGTGTAAAATAACCTACCCGGTTTACACAAATTTTCTTAACACGAACAGGTTATTTTGTGGTCCCGTCGTGTTCGTGTTAACGAGGGAGTACTGTAATATTATATTAATTTTTTTTTTAACTAGAAAGTTTATATAATGGCGTTAGATCCACAGATATTTGAATAATTACTGGTAATTAAAATAACTCAAACCATCTGTAATAAAACAAATATCTTTTAATTTTTTAATTATTTTAACTTCATGATGTAAAGATACTGATATTTTCAAAGAAAGCATAGCACACTTCCACTCTATGGAAAATAATTTGTCTAATACTTGTCTAATACAATGGCAACTATCTTAATCTTAATATATAATTATATTAGACTTTAAGAACAGTTTTTCACTTTTTTTATGTAACAATAACAAAATGAATAAGACAAAAATATGTTTTTCAAGTCACAGCTGTTAATAGAAAATATATTATTTCATAATCATAATTTACTAAGAAATAATAAAAGCTTTGATCTCAAATAGTCATATATAATGTATAATGCTAATTAATAAATAATAATTACAATTGATGAGGAAGTGAATGACAAATTAATGATAAACAGAAATATATTGTTTAAAAAATACAATAATTGAATCATCATTACTTTTAATATATAGTCAGTGGCGTATCCTAGGGTGTTGTTTGGGGGTTATGACAGTATACATACAAACTATAACTTTGATCTTAACTAACATAAATATTTATACATAACTGTTATAATAAATAGATAATTTATCATAATTCATAACAGACATAATAAATAAATATTTTTGTAAATTAAAGTCAGTAATAGTTTGTATTTATATTACATGTAATTAACATCCCCTTACAAGAATCTTAGTTACGTCACTGGATTTAGCGTTTGATTTGTGTCAACATATGACATAAAAATAAATAATTCACATTTATAGGCAGCGAGATGAAATAGAATGTACAACAGAATCAAATTTTAGAAGCAGTAGATAGGAAATACAAACATGATAAATAAATTTTAGTAAAAATTTAGATTATTATTTAATGTTTTAGTAATAAAGGACAGATTAGTTGAATAACCATAAAGAACGAATTGGAATTCATCGGGCTGGCTACAATAGTAAAATGTCAATGATCTTAGTCAAAATACATATATGGTCACATTCCAAAGGCTTAAGGCATGGTACAAAAATTTAAGGGAATTGAAATGCTTAAAGTACATGTTCATCGTAAATTATCATACAAATTCAAATAAAAAAATAATGAATTTTAAAAATCAGCATAAAAAGGTATAATATATTAACAAACAGTTTTTTTTAGCTAAAAAAATTGTCAAGGTGGTAGATATCATTAAAAAAAAATGTTCACATGTTTTAAAGAATAATAATAAATACAATAACTTAATGAGAAATGTTAACATTTCATGTCAAAAAAAAAACTTAGTATTTAGTAGGTAACTACATAAATATGTTTATTGTAATTTTAATCTAATCTTTCTATAGTATATTATAGTATAGTGTTAGCTAACAAATAATAAAACAAAATAATTTATTTTATGATTGTATATTGTCTCATTTCTACAGTGCTAAAATTACCAATGAGAAGATCTCTTTTTTCAACAGGTGAGTGCACTTTAATTTGTCTCATATGTGTATCTCTTCCATTTTGATGATTGGTAATAACAGCGATTTGTAACATGTATGTTTTCAATGGTAAATCATTGATATCTTTAGTCATTATTCTTACCCAGCCATAAGGTTCGTTCAGTTCAACTACTTCAACTTCTTGTAAGTCATTAAAATTAGTGCCAGCACGTACTGATATACGACCAGGTGTATAGCTTTCATCAAGTCTATAGTCAATGTATATGCATATATCACGCACAACTGTCTTACGTCTAAATTGAATATTAACTAAATGTGGAAGTTGACCATCTGACTGCCAGTAAGTTTCCATACAATCATCTCTTAACTGGTCCACACCAAAACCTGAAATAAAAATAATAAAAATAATTTAGTAGTGTAATATTGTAGATATACTCTGTAATGGAGTCACCTGATAAAATTGTAGTTTGGAGATATTGTTATGAACAATAATAATAAACAATAACACTCAATAATGATTTAAGTATAAGTCATTACATTTTGTTCGCCAAGTTTATAACACAAGAAAATCATTTTCTTTTAGGCAAATAGGTATGTTAACTTCAAGAAAAATCTTTATTTTACCTGGTTTGCATGATGATAGACTCCATATTGCTTGACTACCCACTTCACGTACTATTCCAGAGCGTACATCTTTCATTGGATCAATTTTTTCTTCATCAGATGCATTATTGTTGTTTGGAGTTGCCATTTTGAAACGTTTGCACTCTCAGCTTAAAACCAAGTAAACAAGAAACACATTGATACATCAATATTAACCATTAAGTTAGTTATGTTTCATAAATGTAAAAATACCTAGTAAATATTAAAATTCACTAAAACAGTCGTGGATCACGTCAATAGTGTTATATGGGCACACAACGTGTACAACTATAACAATATAGGAAAGTTGGTGTGAGCTAGTGTATTACGGAGGGCAGAAGTTATCGAATGCTGGAACAATATATGAACAATCAACAAATTTTCATTCGTGATAATATGTAAATTGCAATGATAAATGATTGTCAAACGATATTCGATATCCTAAAATTCTAAATTCGAATAATCAGATTCGGTTTAATTTTCAAATAAATGAATATATTTCTTATCAGTCGGAACATAATATGTGATAAAAATTACCCACGGTGCCAACCACGAATTAAAATATTTTAATTCGTGGTGCCAACTAACTGTCAATACCGCGACTTAAGACCACAGACCTAAACTTCCAGTAGCAGCTGTATGCTTAAAACGATAAAACAACAATAGGTACGCATCAATGTGTAATTAAATGTGTAAAATACCAAGGTGGAAAGGTGTGCAAGTTTGTTTTGTCAGTATTATGTACATACCTATCTTTTTACTCGGATGAAATGAATCATTTTTGGCTATAGGCGATTATGGTAGGTATTGATGATTAGTGGCCTTGTGGGTTTTTACATTTCGAATATTTCGATAAAAGTTATTTTATTATAATTGGTACATACGACATACCTAACCTAAATTGAAATATTTATAACTTCTTATCGTTTCAAATCTTCAAGTAGTCCTAATTATAGTTTTTAGGTCTAATGCCTGTGCCTAGTAAAATGTTAATTTTGTACTACCTACTACAGACTATCGGAGTATCGGACTATATTCATATTATAATCATTGTATATTTGTATATTATTTAGTCTGCCGTTGTTCCACAAATATATCAATTTTTTATTTACAATCGACTATTGACACGTAAATACGTAATCATTAAATCATAATTTACAGTCGTCACTGTATAGAAGACCACACTATTATACCCAGGAGCGTATTTTGGGATAAAAAAACAAATTTAAACAGTACTTACTACTTACCTATTGGCCATTGCCAGTTTATTTTATAATATTAATGAATGAAATAAGCTTTTACTCTTATCTGTAGTTTGAACAATATATTTTAATAAGTATATAATTAAATATAATTAAGAATATAATACGCAGTACGTTAACAATTTGACAAAAAGTTTTGTTTTATACTTAACTAATTTTAAAAAAAGACGTTGGTACATTATATTTTCAAAAAACACGATAAACTTAAAATAATCAAAATTTGAAAGTCAATAGAATGATATAACGGTTATCATTAGTATTAAATTTATCAGCATCACGGTGATAATTATTTGGAATTGTGGTGAAACCCAAGCAGTTGCCAATGTGATTTTGTAGTACGTCCGTGGGTGTACTCGTGTAGGTACACATCGTGCGATTAAAGTATATACGACAGGTTAGGGGCAATCGCCGCATATTACTCCAAAAATACACTACTGGGCTCTGACTACATCTGTACTGTATATATATCATATTATATGCAAGTATCTTTGTTACATAACAATCTAATTTTGTGTTTTTTCGGATGAAATTAATGAACATGGTAAGTGATATAATATATCGATATAAGTGATTATATCGATGCCTGCAATTTTAAACGAGTCCTCAAACGTGAAACGAATGAGTATCTTTTACAACGTGTCAAAATCTGATATTTTGTGCAATATTACCATAGACGATAGACCTATGAACCAGGTTAACTAGTTAATAAGTCTATGAATATTACATAATATCTACAGTCTACACTGATAGCGTGTAGATGCTTCGAATGATACCAGGCTAGATGAATTGCCTATACAATACTCCTTGAAAAATAACAAATTGGAACCACTTGAGGACTACCATCAAATCAAACAGGTATGATAAATCGATAATAAATAATAGTATAAATTATCACTCAGGTGCGCAATTTGAATTGCATGATCCCATTAAAAAGTTGATACTTGATTAAATCAGACAATAATATTGACCATTAAAATGATTGGGATTGGGTTGAACGAAGCGATCGTAATAACTAATAAATGATCGATTCTATATTACCAGCGATACTTACGAGTTACAATAATCATTATTTAGCGAGAATACTGTAGTGGCGAAGTACCTATAAACATTATAAACATACATACTACTACATATTGTAGACATGTCAACCGTTTAGTATTACGAATCAAGTTGTAATGGAAACTTACATTGATATACCTAGATATACAGATAGTTAACTACCCCAAAATTTGTCTTTAGTATATTATAGGTATTTCCCGTAATTGGAATTGTACATAAAAAAGTGAGACATTTTTTTAAAATCACGTCATGATTTATGTACATATCAATATGTCTGGAAAAATATAATATGTATTTTATTGGAATATGTTCTAATTTGAACTATAAGTCTTGACGGACGGGTTTTTTTAAAGACTTAATTTGAGACATGTTGTGTTGCTCGAAATCCCTATATTGATCACCAGGTTATCTATAAAATTCAGTTGTATAGGTACACAAAAATATAGTATAAATATTTATAACTTTCTATGGAACCAAAATATTTTAGTAAAATAATAATTTTTATATAAAAAAGAAAACGGTGTGGCACAGATAATAATTTTTTCATAATATCATCATTAAGTTTGACATCAATTTGTTTCTATATAATTTTAAAATTATAAAAGTACAAAAACTCAAAACTATATCGATTACACTTACACCAAACTTAAATTTGTCAAATTACTCTTGGATACTGTGGAATACGAATATAACAAATAACTGCGGTCACCACGTCTTTTTGGCGGTAATTCCATTCTGCACTTTTCAAGTACCTAGTGGCTAAATCTTCTATGTATCCACTTGAGTCATTTTAAGTATAAATATACTATTTTGGGTACCTATCTACAAAATATGTAATATGCTTCTTATATATCAATCAACAATGCTTAGGGGATAATATGTAGTTGATAAATGGCTCCGTAGCTATAAATTATTTATTTAAATTATACGCTTGCGTAAGTAGACGTAATTCAAAATAATATTAATATTGTTAGATTATAATTTTTTTAATAATATGTATTGTTAAATGTATTTGTGGTAGCACCTATATTATGGAATGATAAAAATGATTTATCAATTTATTGTTTAAAAACTCATAACATAATATTTTATAAGTAATAGTTATCCAGCATCCCAAACACACATGGTGTACAAAATGAATATTTCCAATTCTTTCGGTAAAGCCCACCCCACATAAAACGAACATGGCCAATTTAAAAGTATTATATCACTGCCGATACTAAAATAGGGCGCTCTTTTTAAATTGACTGCCAACTCTCAACGGGAGGGACGTTATCCCAGTTAAGATTAATGAATTGTTTCGAGACCAATTTCTTGGGGATCGTTATTTTTTTCTAACATTTTTTTTACGACGCTTGTCGCCTTATTACTCCCAATCGCCATTTTTAAAGACACCACATAATTTGGTACCAAAAATACATAAAGACAATGGATCAATAATTTCCTTTATTATCTATTTGTCTATGGATATTTTTGTTTAGTTCTTCTACGAGATTGCTAAGTATTTTTACTACTATGTGTTATTGGCTATTATATTGGTACCTATATAATAATATTACTATTCTAATATTTTTACATTAATAAAATTGATTTGATTAATTTACAGGGTGTAACAGGAAGATATGACAAATATCATATACCAGATATTTCATAACTTTCTGTTACACCTTGTTTATCAATGTTGTATTATGTCTAATAGATGTTTGTATTATTGACAAAGGTTAAGTAAAAAACGATTTAACAGTCGTATGTATTATACATATATATAATAATTAATGCAATACGATAATTTTAAAATGACTGTATTATACTAAAGTACTAAACGTGATAATTAATTAATTGGTATTATTTAAATATTATAGCAAATAGATAATTCAAAGTATGATCCAAAAATATTATATTTACTCTAAACAAAAATTTCATTTTATTTAATTATCGTTTAAAATATTCAGTACCTACGAATTTTGATTTTATTGGTCTGATTTTTAAATTTCACTATTATGAATTTACCTACCAAATATACCTACCATATAGTAAAGTAACCTAACGAAGATGTGACAAACTGACAACCGTACATGATCTATAGACGGTCGCATATATAGCGTATAGTTTATAGCCGTGGGCCTTGGCTGTAGAACAAAAAAACTTGACAGGTAATTGTTGTAAATTATACATTAAATTTTGTATGATAAAAAAATATTATGATATGAAATGAACAGTAATGAAAATACAATATGTAATTTTACCTACTACTCGTTTTATTTTAACAGCGCAATACGGATCTATGGATTAAGAACAATATTTAACAGCTGCTGATAAACAGATAAATCAGCTTATTGATTATTTTTGGAGTAAAAAGCTAGACAGTTTTAAAGTTTTATAAGTGTAATTTAATTGTAAACTAGTAGACTCTAAAAGAATATAAGGGTAGTTGTACAAGTTGAAGTAAAATAATCCACACCCTAAGACCTTCATTTTATCCTCCTTGAACCCCCTACAGGACGTTGATCCAAAACATTATACGTGCTAAATGATAGAACTATTAAAACTCCCCTTCATATGTTTGCCATACTCCGTAGAAATATATAAAACTATGGTGATCTAAGGTCCTGAGAAATTATAGGAATTTTATAAAAATATGGTGTTAAAACATATCTGGCCGTCTATATCGCGTATGCTTTTCTTTAAATGACATTTTTTAATGAATTATCTTATTTCAAAAATATTAACATTATTTTGACACAATACAATTATTATTACCGCATATTTATAAGATATTTTTTGTACTTGAATACAGGCGTAATCGGTAGTTAAACAATTGAATCAATTGATAGTCATATATAGGCAGACATTAATTATATAGGTTAGTTGCCTATAGGCATAGCCATCTTATGATGTGATTTTTAAAGTTACGTATCTAATAATATCATAATATAGTAAAACGTTTCAAAAATAATAAATTACGATATTATACAAACAGTTACAACAGACAAAAATATGAATTTAAATTTAAGAATTTTAACATAATAACAATTTGAATGAATAATATTATGAAAACGATTGGACATGATCAATTTAATTGTATAAGTTTCTTCTCATGATGTATTAAATAATAATATAATACATATTAATCGATAATACAACATTAGCTTTATACAAAGTTATATTTATTTTAAAGTTTAGTT